AAGCCAGAATAATAATCAAAATTATACAGAAGAAAGTGCAGTAACATACAAATGTTTTTTTTAATGTGCTCTGTGCCTTGAAAAATCTGGATTTCAACCAGAATTTCTTAGTATTACCTGAATTGTCTTAATTTTCATTATTTCTTGTTCATCTTACCTCTGGTCCAACACCAGGATAAGAATGGGGTGCAAACATTGACCCAGTACCTCAGATCTATGTTAGATGAGTGTTTTTATTATTCTGTTTGAAGCAAAACAGAATAACATGAATGACTTTTAACACACATCCTAAAGCTTTATTCGAACAAGTGATGACTTTCCCTAAGTTGTTCTCTGAAACCCTGTTGTAATGACACAGTCACCGTGCAGGACATACCTCTGTCTCTTCTCTAGAGGGTGACTGTAAAGGGACAACTGATTGCTTTACATGTTGTACATTATATTAGCCCCAAACAAACTTAGTATTTTTTTAAATCCTTCTTAAATATGCCCTTTGTATATTTTATTTACCAGCTGTTGAACCCACTCATCCTCCCACCCCTAGTGCGTTGGATATGCTGAATAATGTCTCATTATCAGAAATTGCCATGAATTTTCAGGTTGCCAATGGCTCTGCTAGGAAGAGGGATCTTGGGATCACCTCCTTCAGGATCAAAATCTACCCACCTTTTATGTTGGCTTCCTTCTATTCAGCTGTACCTTGGAATGATCCTGGTCACTTCCTCCAACCAAATACTTGCCTGTCATTTGCCTGACATAAGAGTCTAAAAGCGTCTTGGCAGTGGGGTTTATTTCCCCTGCACCTTGCGGATGCTGTTCCTATGATTGGGGCTCATTTGCAAGGTGACCATGATTGGGTCATGGTGCTTGGAAATTTTTGTAGTGGCCCTTCCAAAGGTTACACAACTGGTCAAATTCCTTGCACAGCCATGCCTCATCACTAGTGCTCACATACATGCTCACATACACAAATATGGTATTTGTTGCTGGTCTTGCCTTTTGTTTTGCGGCTTAAATATGTCCTTTGTATATTTTTATACAGAGGGCAATGTGTTCTGGGCCATGGTGCCCACATATTTTCAGCTGCAATGCTCCCTACAATTGTAGTGCTCACACACATTTGGCAGTGATACAGCAGAAGTGGCTTGCACCATGAGGATCACACACAAGACATAGACAAGATCAAAGCTGCCAGGATTTCATCTGGTGCCTGTGGAATGATGGTCTAGATTTAGGGTTTTGGCTTTTTTCAACTCCCTAAGTGATGCTTGGAGGGGCTCAGGGATGCCTAAGGGCAATACCAGGTCAATTGGCATTTCCATAATAGGACGTGAGGATGCAGTGCTGCCAGGATCTTATAGTGTCAGGGACCACCAGAGATACCCACAGCACTTGGGGGCCTCCATAACAGTGGAGCTCATTGATTCTCAACGGAACCATATGATGCTGGGGATGAAACCCTAACCACCATGCTATCTCCCAGACCCAACACAGAGTTTGCTGTTAGCCTCATGTGTGAAAGGAAATGCTTTACTGGGCCAACTTTTGGTCTCTAGACTCTCCCTTTTTCCCTCCCTCCTCCTTCCTTCACTCCTTCTTTACTTCTCCCACTTTCTCTTCTCTCTCTCCTTCCTTCCTTCCATCCATCCTTTCCTCATTCCCTTTCTTTATTTTACTATATCCTCAAGCACCAACAGTACTAAATTGCAATATTTTTCAATAAAGATTTGTCAATTGGTATTTTTCTGGTTTGTTTTTTGTTTTGTGAACCATGGCTTTCTTCAGTGATCCTTTCCATTCATATTTTCCCCCCTTTGGCTAGAGTGAGAACACAGGGGTTAACAGGCTTTGCATATAGACAATCCTGGATAGAAAAAAAATTAAATGACTATAAAATACATAAGATTGTCTGAGGGGCTGGAGAAATAGTACAGTGGGTAGGGCATTTGCCTTGCACAAAGCTGACCAAGACATCTACACAATGGAGTACTATGTAGCTGTTAGAAAAGATGAAGTCATGAAATTTATATACAAGTGGTACAACATGGAAAGTATCATGCTAAGCGAAATGAGTCAGAAAGAGAGGGATAGACATAGAAAGATTGCATTCATCTGGGGAATATAAAGAAACAAAATATGAGATTAATACCCAAGAATAGCTGAGATCAACACCAGGAGGATTACTCCATAGCTTAGAGGCCAGCCAGGCATTCTAGGGGAAAGGGCAGCTCAGATAGAGAAGGGAGCACCAAATAAAGGGTGTTTGGAGGATCCTCCCAGGAGGGGAGATGCATGTTGAAAGTAGACTATGGACTGAACATGTTTGCCACTCAAAGCCTCTTTTGCAGACCACAACACTCAAAAGGAGAGAGAGAACACAAGGGATTGCCCTGCCACAGGGGCAGGGTGAGATGGGAGGGATGGGGGTGGGAGGGATATTATCCATGGTGGTGGAAAATGGGCACTGGTGGAGGGATGGGTATTTGATCATTGTATAATCAAAACCCAAGCACAAAAAATTGTAAATCTACAACTGTACCTCATGGTGTTTCACTAAAAATTAAAAAAAAATTTAAAAAAAAAAGCTGACCAAGGTTGGATCCCCGGAACCCCACATAGTTCTTCAAGCTCACCAGGAATAATTCCTGTTCAGAGTCAGAAGTAACTTGTGAGCACTACAGGTGTGGCTCCCTCTAAAAAGTGGAACAAACTAAATATTCAAAAAGGAATTGTTAATATATAGTTACCCTCATAATAAAAATGATGATGGGGGCCAGAGAGTTCAGGAGCTAAAGCATTTTCCTTGCATGTGGCTACCCATGTTCAATCCTAAGCATGACATTTGGTCCCTCGTGCACTGTCAGAAGTGATGCCTGAGCAGAACCAGGAGTAAGCCACAACACAGCGGGGTATGGGCCTCAAAACAAAAACAAAAAATAGGGTTTTGAATACACATATTGATCTTAAAAGTAGTTCATTGTATAGGTTGACTAATCAGTAAAAGTTAAAATATTGGTCCCATTATATCACTTTTATAGGTATATATGCACACAAAGATCTGAAAGGATTACTAGGCTTGCCTTTGGGGGCAGGTATTAGATCACAGTTGGGTACTCGGGGACTTTTCTTGGTTCTGTGCTGCAGGGACCCTAGATGGTGCTGGGGGACCTTATGTGATACCTTGAATGAAGGAGATGCAAGTAACCTTAACCCAGTACCTTCTCTCTGGCCAAACAGGCCCTCTTTATTTGCCTTTGGTGTAGTTTCTAATGTGATAACAGCAACTATGGATAATTCACGAAATGGGATAAAAAGACAAACAGTAGAATGCCTTACTCAAAACCAAAATAAACACTGATCAAGTTTATTAAACAATCAAGTTACAAACATGAGAAAAATGACTGCAATAAGATTTCAAATGATTTTCTGCCACCTTGTGGGAAATACTACTCATTGCAGAAATCAAGTAAGCAAATTCAGAAACTAAGGACTGTTAACTGCTGGTGAAATTGTTTTACAAACATGGCCCACAAGGTGAATTAAAGCTCTGTCCATCCATGTTGTTTGTCTTCTCTGTTGGAGATTTAACAAAGGAGTACAATAGGAGGAAATTAATATCTGTCAATTATTAGTGATGACCTTTTGCCAAACTTATCAATAGCTTTATCTAACAAAAATTCCTATGAAATTCGGCATTTTCCCATTAGATAAGGCACAGAATTTAATTTACCATCTACCCATAGCAAATAAATGCTAACAAAGTCATGTCAAAGCCAGACGATGGATTTCAAGTAACTGACTTAAAGTTTGAATTTATTGCTACTCCATTCACCATTCCTCAGTGCGAGGTCTGAATTGGGAGGCAACAGATGAGTTTTCTGAGCAGAAACAGCAAGTTCTCCAAGCAGCTCTCACCTCCCAGAGCTGTAGAGTACTGTCACTTTGCAAACATGAGAAAAACAACTGGCCCATGGACCTGGATCCTCAGCAGAACTGTTTGTTGGATCCTGAGCAAGACAAGGACAGAAAGGAATGGTTTAGAAAGCTGGATGTCAGTCATAGCACGGCTGACTTTGACAATAAAATATTCCTAACATGTTTATTCTAAGCATGGTCTGCAACTAATAGGAAATGTTAAGGGTAAAAAGATATTGGTTGGTCCCTACCTAACTGCTGTTGTGAGAATAAAGCTATCCACTCTGCAGCATTTCCCAATATTTTTTTCTTTTCTTTGATTTTTTTTAACTATGCCAGGGGTGCTCAAGGACACTCCTGATTCATAGGTGCAGGGCATCAGGCCCAGTGCCCCAGGAACACGAGCATGGAAGGCAAGAACCCCTTACCACTGTGCTATCTCTGCAGACCTCGCCCCTAAGCATTTGAAGGAAGCTTTTGAGATCTAGGTTTCCTGGTATGAAACTTCGAGATCTTTCCTCCACTTGGTTCACGCACTTATTAAGAACAATTATTATAAAATCAAGAAGAACATTAGAGGGGCTGGAGCTATATAGCACAGCGAGTAGGGCGCTTGCCTTGCACTCTGCCAACACAGGTTCGAATCCCCGCATCCCATATAGTCCCCCCAGCACCGCCAGGAGTAATTCCTGAGTGCAGAGCCAGAAGCAACCCCCCCCCGCCCCCCCCCCCCCCCCCCCCCCCCCCGTACATCACCGGGTGTGACCCAAAAAGCAAAAAAAAAAAAAAAGAACATTTGAATGGGTTTTTGAGAAGATCCAGCGCAAGTCCAACACGGCCAAAGCCCAGACTGAGAGGCGGACGCGTACGCATGCGCGCGCTGCCCACAAGGGGGAGGGGCTGGAAGAGGGATTCCGAAGGCGAGGGGGCAGGCTTTCGAGAAAGCCACGCCCCTACTCCCGGAGAGCCGCGCCCGGGGGCGGCCGCGATGTCGTCACTTCCGCCACGGTGTCATTCTGCTTCCGGGTTAGCCGCGCCTCCTGCTATAGCTGCTGCCGCTGCCGCTGCCGCCGCCGCCGCTGCTGTCGCTGCTGTCGCCGCTGTCGCCTCCGCCCCAGCCTCCTCCGCTGCCGCGCCCGCTGTGGCCGGGACGCTGGACTCGGGTCTCCGCTGCCGTCCGAGGGGAGCGGGCTCCGCTCGGCGCTGTCTCTCTGCGACCTGGCCGTCAGCCCCACGTCGCCGGCCTGGAGGGGCGAGGAAGACGCGGGGGCCCAGGCTTCCCCGGGGGTGAGTGGCCGCGGCTGGGCTCGGCTTGCGGCGGATATGGGGGGCGAGGCTGCCGGGTCGGGGCGGCCAGGCGGCACTTCCCGGATCCCGCCCTGGGCGCGGCGCCCCCGCCCCCGCGCGCTTCCGTCCGCGCGGACACCCCCGCGCAGGGTGCGGCCCCCAGCGCGGCGGCGCGGAACAAAGGCCGGGGCCGGGCGCGGCGGGGTGCGCAGGGCGCGGCGGGGCGCGCGGGCCTGCCCTGCCCTGCCCTGCCCCGCGGGCGCCCCGGGAAGCCCCCTGTCCCGGGGCTCGAGTCTGCCCCGGAACGCGGCTCCGCAGATGGCGCTGTCCCGCCGCCGGGTGCTTTCCGGGGGTGCCGCGAGCTCGGGTTGGCCGGGCCTCGACGCCAGCTGTAAGGACGGGCTGGACGGCTTGGGTTTTTCTGAGGGCCACACCTGGCCTGACTCAGGGCTTACTCCTGCCTCTGCGCTCTGGAATCGCTGCTGGCGGTGCCACGGGGGAACTAGCTGGGGTGCCGAGGATCGAACTTAGACCGGCCGCTTGCAAGGCAAAAGGCCCTCCCTTTCCCCCTCCCCCCCTCCCCCGCGCTATCGTCGAGCTTCATTTCTCTAATTAGATTTTTGGTTTGGTTTGGTTTGGGGTCGCACCGGCGGTGTTTAGAGGTTACTCCTGGCTCTGCACGCAGGAATCACTCCTGGCGGTGCGTGGGGGTGCCGTATGGGATGCCGGCCGTCGAACCGGGCTGGACCGGGTGCGAGGCAGTCGCCCCACCCGCTGTATTGTATCTCCGGCCCGTCAAATTACTTTTTAGTGGCAATGTTGGACGTGCACCTTACCATCTATTTTAGGAAGTTTTTTTTTTTTTCCCCAACTCCTTAAGTGGTGGTTCTCGGCTTCCGGGAAAATACAGCTGAAGTCAGCCCAGTTTGGTTAACCCGCAGTTGAGTTTCGGCGGGATCTTGGCGACTGCCGGCCCCAGTTCTTGTTCCTTCGCATTTGCTCTGCTGCTAAGCATTGATCTGCATTGATTGCACCTGGCGTGGTGATGCCTGCAAAAGGGTCCCCCACGAGTGCACTTCCCTGTTAGTAGAGGCATCGCAGACCCTCTGGAGCTAGGACTAACCCGTACTCTCTGTCGAGTTGCCAGTGAGAAGTGCTACATTAAGAGGAATACTTGGGGTCCAACCAAGGCCAGCACCAAGTTGCATGTTATTTACAGCATCTGTAAGAAAACGTGGGAAGGAATAGCGGCACCAGAGCGTTGCCTGTTGGAGCTTAGGTGGTGGTTGGGGGGGGGGGGGGGGGGTGTCTGCGCGGTCATAAATGGGAAGTTGCACTGGGATTGGAGCTTCTGTTCTGAATAGAAGCCCGGGCGAGGGGCTATATGGAGTCAGATCTAATAAATGGGAAGTCAAATCTAATAAATGCAGGAGGTAATCCCACCAGTCAGTAAATACCTGCATGCCCCTCACTTTAAGAGAATTGGAGAAGACTGGGAGCAATCTGGTTTGGGTGTTTTTGTTTTTGTTTTCCCTAAATCTCTTTTTAAGAATCACTCTTTTATGTTACAGAATTTAAGCAGTATAGCAAACCACCTCAGTGTTTGTGTGTAGGGATCACCACTCCCAAACATTGAGTGTCCTCCTACCACCCGCCTTCTCCCTGGTGTTATTTCCAGGGCATTTCCATGTGATTTGCCCCAGGTAGCTGGAGGACCCTCTCTCTACCACTTCCACCAGCCAGCAGGTCAAGCCCAGCAGTACCAGCATTCCAGGACCCACCCTGGCAGGGTCCCCCAAGGGGTCCCCAATAACACACATTGTGGAACTAAAGGGAAACCATGGGGTGCCCAGGATCTAACCTGGCTCCCTGGCAGGCAGTCATGAGCTTTAATCCCTGTACTGTTTGCAACTTTGAAAGTTGCTTAATTTCACAGAGAGAAAAATGTGTACTGTTACATTTTTATTTCGGTTTTGTATTAATATTTCTCATAAGTACCTCATTAAATTCTTGGCGGGGGAGATTTTCACCTCACCCAGCTGCATCCAGACCTTACTCCTAACTCTGCTCAGGGATCACTCTTAGCAGTGTTTGGGGACCCTCCAGGGTGCTGGGATCTGAGAGATCTCTCTTTCTTAACCGAATAGTCCCCTGTTCTCTAGGAAGCATTTTTGAGCAAGCATATCGGATCCTCCCACCGCTCTCCAATATTTTGGTGATCTTAGTAAACATGCAGGCTATCCTAAAATATTTTCTGATAGGTAAAAGTGAACAGAAATATTTAGAATGAAACCCTTCATCTGTATAGGGAAGTGAGAGACATACCTAGGTGTTTTTCTCTGCCAGCTGTAATTTAATTCAGCATAGATGGTGGTTACCTTTTTCAGCAGCACTGTGAAAACTATATCACTGCAGAGTTGCCATGTAAAATTACAATCGAGACAGTGTAAAAATATGACCTTAATATTAATCTTGCTTATCTTGATAAGCTGCACTAGGAAATCCCACTCTATCTTGGCTGAATTTACATCTCCCTTCTGTCGTCAGGAGGAAATCACTTATCTACTTGAATTTTAATCTGAATCATTTGAATTTGCCGCTGTCATAAATTTTTATTCTTATGATCCCCACTAGTAGCCAGCAAAAGTCATCAACAGATGACTTTAGGTTATTCTAACAAATAGCATCTTAATGTTATTTGCCCATTCTAATTTACAAAATCTATGAACAGAAAAGTGGGAACCAAGTTCACTTGAGAGTCAGCAATAGTCTCATTTCCGCCAAAGTTCTTGTGCTTATATTGCTCCTTTCTTGTTTGTTTCCTCTTACTGCTGCTACTGATAAAATGCTTCCAAGAACAATACTCTTTCCCTTGTTTTAACTATGTATACTTTGCTCTTAAATTTTGATGAAGTTGTTATGACTGTCTGTCTCCTTCTACGTTCTATTTAGCTAGCTTGATTATAGATTATTCCCATGCTATTATCCATATTTATGTGCTGCAGTATATTAGCATCACATATTTTATTATACCAAGGTAAAATTATGGAGGACTCCCTCTTTTCAGAGGCACTTTTTGATAGATGATAGAGTTGTACAAATGGAAAAGCAGCTAAAGACATGGTGTATCTTCTAAAATTTAACAGGGTATAGATTTTCTTTCATAAACAAAGATACTTTTACCAACAAAATAATTTGCTCACAATAATTTCACCAAAAAAACTTCATGTTGCCTCAAATATTATCACTATACCATTTGAGGATATACCATTTGAGGGCTGGAGCGATAGCACAGCCATAGGGCATTTGCCTTGCATGCAGCTTGTCCGGCCCAGCTGGGTTCGATTCCTCCACCCCTCTCAGAGAGCCCGGCAAGCTACTGAGAGTATCTCGCTCGCATGGCAAAGCCTGTCAAGCTACCCATGACGTATTCAATATGCCAAACACAGTAACAACAAGTCTCACGATGGAGACGTTACTGGGCTCGCTCGAGCAAATCGATGAACATGGGAGGACCGGGACCATGACCATTTGAGGAGTAAAACATAACAAGGAACCTATTTACGTAGTATAGTTAGATATGCTTAAGAGCGTGAGTAGAACAAGAGCTTGCTGTCCTGTGTCAATACCTTGGCTTAAAATTCACTCCATTGGTGTATATGTATGTCTGCTATTTGCTAGATACTCACTAAGTGTTGGCAATGTCGAGGTAACAGCTTGTCATTGTTTTTTTTTGAAACAGTAAATATTTTTCTAAGTGTACGCCAGGAGAGCATTCTAGCACCCAATAAAAATGAAAGGTGAAATCATCAAAAGCTTTTCTGAGGATTGAGTTCAGTGAATTGGAAATCTGGGAGGGGCTGCAGAGGTAGCTCAGAGAGACCCAGCAGCATTCAGTCCTGCACCAGTACCCCCTCCTCCCACATGAGCCGGGTCCCAAGAACTGCGGGGTGGCAAAAAGGTGGGAGTGCTTCCCACCCAAACCTGCCCCTCCAAAAAATCTGGAAGAGACCCATCAGTTTGAAGGTTTTGTGATGAGCATCCTTAATTCTCATTCATGCTTGATTCTGTGGTAATGTCTTAGCTCTCAGGGTTTGTTGGCCATGGTTTGGGGACTTTTTTACTATTTCTGTGTACTTAATTTGCATTAGCTGTGCTACCAAGTGTGTCCTCAAAATTCAGACCTTCTAAGGTTATTTTTCATCTCTCCTTCAGCATAAATGAGAATTCAGAATGTGGAGTGGGGTGAGCCCGATTTGCTTGCGTGCAGGAGGCTCTGATTGGATCCCAAGCACCACTGGGTGTGGCCCCAGAACCAAAACACAAGGAACAATAGGAAAATTCAAACCAGGAAAAGAGCTTCTCAGACCTGGCATAGATTTAGCATATCATGTGAACTCTTAACACTTAAGATAATTCTTGGAGTAACTGTATTGTTGTTCTGGAACATTATGCTTTTTCTATACAGCTTGATGCATCTTTTAGTTGTAAAATGATCCTGCAGATAGGCAACCATAAAACACTGTGTCTTTGTTTTGTTTTGAAGCTCAGTTAGGGTTTGTCAATTCCTTGAAACTGAAAGTGCCAAGATTTTGAAACTAAAAGTGCCAAGGCTGGCACTCTGCTCTAGTCATAGCCAGAATATTTGTTTCATTACTGTCTTGATTGGTAAATGTTTAAAATGTCCATGGCTGACACCATCTATTTTTATTTGATCAGCAGTTATATAAGGTCTCAAAAGTCACGCTATAGTTACTATAAAAAGCATCATCTTAGCTTTTTTTCCTTTTCCACTGTTGTCAGCCATCTTTTGGGTCACCCCCGGTGATGCACAGGGGTTACTCCTGGTTCATACACTCAGGAATTACTTCTGGCGGTGCTCAGGGGACCATATGGAATGCTGGGAGTCGAAGCCTGGTTGGCCGCGTGCAAGGCAAACATCCTGCCCGCTGTGCTATCGCTCCAGCCCCAGTTTTTATACTTTTGTTGATAGTAAAATTTCCTGTAGGTAGCTTAAGAAATATGTTTAACTACTTTTTTTTTTTTTACTTACGTAAGGAAAGTAGATTCTTGGACTTCTCTGAACCCCGTAAAATTATAGTTTTTGTTGCACTCAGTGGATTTTAATGACTTTGTTTTGGGGGCTTGCCCACCTGTGCTCAGGGCTCTGCATCCAGGGGTCACTCTTTGTGGTGGTCAGGGGATCATATGGCATATTGAGGATCAAACCTGTGTCTGTCATGTGGAAGGTTAGCGCACAGCCTGCTGGACTATCTCTCCAGTCTGACCTTAATGATGTTTTAAATATTATATTCAAACCTGTTTCTTATTCTATCAACCGAAACAATCTCTAGACTCCTTCATACTCACACCCTTCCTTGGAAAAACTAAAACTCTTTACTGAGGGCCCAGAGAGATAGCACAGTGGTTAGACTACTTCCCTTGCATGCAGCCAACCCCAGTTCCATTACATACCACCACTTGCAGCCCCTCAGGCACTGCCAGGCTTGATCCTGAACACCACTGGGGACAGTCCAAAATATTACTTAAGTTCGGTGTCTGAAAACTTATGCCGAATTATATGTAAAGTGGCTTAGGAACTCTTCACCCCTGGGATTTCTGACACATGAACATCCATGCTTTCTGTCACGGTCACGGTCCTCCCATTGTTCATCGATTTGCTCGAGCAGGCCCAGTAATGTCTCCATCATGAGACTTGTGGTTACTGTGTTTGGCATATCGCATACGTCATGGGTAGCCGTGTGGGCGAGATACTCTTGGCAGCTTGCCAGGCTCTCCGAGAGGGGCGGAGGAATCGAACTCGGGTCGGACATGTTAGCCACTTGTAAGGCGAACGCCCTACTGCTGTGCTATAGCTGCTAGAAATTTTCTAGCATTAGCCTTTGTCCAGAGGGTGGAACTGGGATCACGTGTAGAAAATATACATATTTGCTTTTGTTCCTTGCCTCTCCCCAAAAATGTTTTATCCAGTGGTACCTAATTAATTTTAGGTTACAATCACAGGCATAGGGCTGGAGCGATAGCAGAGTGGTAGGGCGTTTGCCTTGCACACAGCCAATATGGCCGACCCGAGTTCGATTCCTCCAACCCTCTCGGAGAGCCCGGCAAGCTACCGAGATTATTTCACCTGCACGGCAGAGCCTGGCAAGCTCCCCGTGACGTATTCAATATGTCAAACACAGTAACAAGTCTCACGATGGAGACGTTACTGGGTCCGCTTGAGCAAATAGATGAACAACGGGAGGACCGTGACAATCACAGGCATACCACTGAAAGCAGATATTTTCTTTTCTTTTTTTTTTTTTTTAAATCACAGAGAGATGTAGTTACAAAGCTTTCATGTTTGAGTTTCAGTCATACAATGATCAAACACCCATTCCTCCACCAGTGCACATTTTCCACCACCAATGTCCCCAGTATCCCCCCCTCTTCCCACTCCTCCTCCTACCTCCATGGCAGACAAGTTCTCTCATATTCTCTCTGTTTGAGTGCATTATGGTTGAAAGCATATATTTTCACTGCACAACACCCCAGCTGCAAACAATACTTTTTTGCTGGAATATATATTGTCCTTCCGTTGTTCATCGATTTGCTCGAGCGGGCCCAGTAACGTCTCCATTGGAGACTTTGTTGTTACTGTGTTTGACATATCGAATACATCACGGGTAGCTTGTCAGGCTCTGCCATGGGGGCAAGATACTCTTGGTAGCTTGCCGGGCTCTCCGAGAGGGGCGGAGGAATCGAACTCGGGTCGGTCATGTTGGCTGCGTGTAAGGCAAACGCCCTACCGCTGTGCCTATGGCTCCAGCCCATCAAGAATATATATATATATATATATATATATATACACACACACACATATATATTCACTGCACTCTAACACTGTCATCCAGTTGCTCATGGACTTGGTCCAGCAGGCCCAGTAACGTCTCCATTGTGAGACTTGTTACTGTGTTTCACATATCATATACATCAAGGGTAGCTTGCCAGGCTTTGCTGTGTGGGCAAGATACTCTGGGTAGCTTGCCAGGCACTCTGAGAGGGACGGAGGAATCAAATCTGGCTCAGCTGGGAGTACTGCACACAAGGCAACACCCTACCACTGTGCTATATTCACACCATTTTTCAAGAAGTGTTAAATGGTATTTGTAGCCAAGCAAACATTGCCAGGTCATTAAGCCATTCAGTGGCTTATGTGGGAGAGGTACAAGCTAAAGTTTAAGATTATTGTACCTTAGCAGCTAAAAAGTAAAGTGGAGGGGTGGAAAGGTCATAGAGCAGGTAAGGCACTTGCTTTGCCTACTGCTGACCTGTTTTTGTCTCTAGCACCTACCATTATCCCTGGACCTACTCGGAAGTGACCCTTGAATGCAGAGCCAGGATTAAGACCTGATCATCATTGGGTGTGGCCCCAGTACAACAAAACTAAGTGGAAAGTTTTTCTAACAGTTTTCTCTTTTCACAGGACATTGGCTCTCTGGATTATCAGGAGTTAGTAGTTGATGTTGAGTCCAAGCTGAGGATGGAAGGAGTGGAGCTTAAAGAAGAGTGGCAAGATGAAGATTTTCCAATGTGAGCAGTGTTTTGGGGTTGGACAAGGGCGAACACAAGCAGTATGGGGCTCTGTGCTCTAGGCTAATTCTTAGATCTGTGCCACCCAGGCAACTTGCCTCCCTGTGCTTTGTGGACCTTATGTGGTACTAAGGGTGGGCTGGGTGCAAGTCGAGTGTCTTAATCACTGCACTCTCTTTTTATCCCTTAGCAGTGGTTTAAAATGAATACAATTTTTTTCACTTATTAAATGATTATTGGCTTTCTTGCAGTATTGGAAGGTGCTTATTTGATACCAAAAACCGAAAATTCCTTCCCAACAGTTAGATGAATTCTCTTGTATTTTACTCCCCCATCAAATGTATGTGTAACTTTAAAATCTTCCATTTGAGTCTCAACTTTTTTGCTGTTAAAAATAGTGCTTTTCAAAAGTAGAGAAAGAGTATGGGGAAAATTGTCTGCCGTAGAGGCAGGGGGAGGGTTGGGATGGGAGCACAGGAAATACTGGGGACATTGGTGCTGAAAAATGCACTGGTGGAGGCATGGGTGTTCGATCATTTTATGACTGAAACTCAATCTTGAAAGCTTTGTATCTTTGTATCTGTGTATCTTTGTATCTTGCAGTGATTTAGTGAAAAAAGAAAAAAAATTCTCCAGCAAAATTCTAAAAAACAGGCTCAGGGTAATAATAAGATAAAGGTAAAGGTAAAGGCCCTCCCGTTGATCGTCAATTTGCTCGAGCGGGCCCAGTAACGTCTCCATTGGAGACTTTGTTGTTACTGTGTTTGGCATATCGACTACTCTCGGTAGCTTGCCGGGCTCTCCGAGAGGGGTGGAGGAATCGAACTTGGGTCGGCCATGTTGGCCGCTTGTAAGGCGAACGCCCTACCGCTGTGCTATCGCTCCAGCAATGACTACATAAATGACAATGCAATTTGGAGCAAAGGCTAGTCTCCTTAGAAAAATAATTGTGAATGTTTTTATGGATTTAGTACTACCATGCTATTTTATTTGCAAAAATAAAAGTTTCTTAATAGTCATTTACTCCTCCTAATATATGAAACTTGCTTAAAAAGAAAAACTTGTTTTATCTTATTTCCTTCAAATATGCTGTTAATATTTTAATTTTTCTTCTTTAGATCATTGTCCATTAATAAAGAACTACAGAGACAAAAAAAATAGTGCTTTAATGTATGACTTCAGCTAGAGAGAGAGTTGTTCCTTCCAGAAGGGGGCCTGTTGATCTTTAAGAATTGTTATATACTGTGGTGATGGTGTGAGGGAGAGTGTGTGTTGCTTTGCTTTGTTTTCTAAGGAAAAAACATACAAAATAAGCAGTACTTTTGTAGACCCTTTTCTGAGCATTTGCTTTTTAATTAAGTTGACACCAGATTGTGTAAGAGAAAAGCCAGGTTGCTCTTAAACTCAAAAGGGTCCAGCCAGTTCTGAGCACACAATTAGGTCTCTTTGCATTTGGAATATGGATAACTGGCAGGATATGAAATCAATGCACAGCATGGGATGGCAGTAATGGTAATGGTGGACAGTGTGTGCCTCCCTAGTAGAGCAAATGCCTTGGATGTGTGAGACGTGATTTCTATACCCAGCAAACACCACCACCACCTCCCCACCAAAAAAAAAAAAAAAAAAGAAAAAGGAAAATGTTCAAAGGATCTTATCCTTCTCTACCTTAAACTAAGCAATGTGACAGTTTAGCTTCTTCATTACATTGTGTCAAATATCATATTAAATGTGTGCTTTTGCATTGTTTTTATTTATGATTTTAACATTTCATAAGTGATTTGTATGTAATATATTAACATCTAAAACAATGCTGACAGTCTTAAAAATGGTTTGTATATTATTAAAACTTAAGTACCACCTGCTTTAGGGTTCAAGAGATAAGGAGGTACTTGCCTTGTATGTGACACACCCCAGGCACCACTTTCATCCCCTGAGCACTGCTGGGTGTGGTCCATCCCACCCCCAGAAGAGCACTGCTTTATTTTTTGTCCACATAATTGTCACTGTGAGCTGGCTTTGATCTTTGAACTTAAAAAAAAAGTTATTTTCTAAGATGGAAGGCAGGGGATTGAATCCAGGACCTTACACATGCAAGGCAAGTGTGGTTTGATGGGTGTTTGGTTTTGTGCTTTGTTATTTTCATTCTTAGACCTGCATACAGTGCATGTGCTCTATCCCTTAGAGCCGTCTTTCTGGTCCTAATTTTGGGTTCTAACAAGTTTTTCTGTGTCTTCCAGACCTTTACCAGAAGATGATAGTATTGAAGCAGACATATTAGCTGTAACTGGACCGGAGAGCCAACCTGGTGAGAACCTGGCACTTTCAGTTCCAAGGAAGTGATAGACTTAAACTGTGCTAGTTTTCTTTAGTACAGGGAAGAAGTATTCAGTTTTGGTTCTCTATTGAGCCAAAGGATAAGTTGAATGTTGAGCAAAGCAATTTTTCAGTCTGTGGAAATGTCAGAAATTTAACTTCCAAAACATCCCCTTGTTTTGGACATTTCTATAAGAAAGGGATGAGTTCTAAGAGGACAACATTTTTATTAATAAAAGATGACCGAAAGTCCTGCCTCCTAGTAACAAAAACATACCCTTCCTGGGACGTGTCCTCTTGCTGGTTTCTGAACACAAGGAAAAAAAAGCCAGAATTCATGAAATAGATCTTTGGGATTGTGTTTAAAGTTTACTTCCCTCAAGAACAAAGTGGCTAAAATGCATTTTTATTCAAGTTGAGCATCTTATCATTTTGTTCACCTATCTCAGCTTCACTAGAAGTTAATGGAAATAAAGTAAGAAAGAAACTCACAGCCCCAGACATCAGCTTGACACTGGATCCTGCTGATGGCTCTGTGTTGTCCGATGACCTAGAGGAGAGCGGGGAGATTGACCTGGACGGCCTGGACACCCCGTCCGAGAACAGCAATGAGTTTGAGTGGGAAGGTAAATGAATTTTTTATCTTTTTAAGTCTGACTTTTATTGATGAACGTTTTTATATCTTATATTTTTATAGTAGCGTTCTCATATTTGGAAAATTAGAATGTGAAAAAACTTAAAACTTGATAATAAAACTAGCTAAAATCAACTATTCAGGGATTTTGTTAAAATACGTTATTTCTAAAGTTTGCGTATTTCTAAGATAGGGAATACGTTTCTTCATGGTTACTTTAAAAATATTGCTTGATAATATTGCATACCCTTTTGTTCTTTCAATGTTCCTTTAATTAACTAAGAAAAAAAAGACTTTGAATGTGCTAAAAGTAGTTAAAGGTTTCAGACAGGGGGTTCTGAGGGGTTTTTATTTTTGAAGGTGGATTTTTTTTTTTAGTAGGTTTCCTGATAATAACTATGCTTTGTAAACTGCCAGCTTGTTAATTGTATTCCAAACCTTATATTGCTTATCATTAGGTACTCGGTATTTGTAGGAATCATTAAGTCTTTTGCTTTGCATGCTTTTCTTAGGTCCTTGTTTTCTGCAGTAACTTTTTGTAGTTTTATGTTTACTTATAAAACTTTATTTCATTCTAAACCTGATTTCTATTTCAAAGCAGTGTTTAGTAGTGGGTATCTTATCAGCAATAAAGAGTAAGATCTTTGATAAGCGCTATCTTTTGTTTCTTTTGTTTTACTGGTTCAGTAAGCAGTCCAGTAATACGTAATATTTCATAAAGATACTGAAATAGTTTTCTGCCTGTGTGTTTTGTCTCTTCTTTCTTTAATGCTGCTGTAGTCATTTCCTGGAAGGATATTTTCCGTTAGCAGCTTTGTCTTGGAAACAACTAACATGCAGTAGGTTCCCCCTCCCCCATCACTTGGTAAGGCCTATCATACCAAAATTTTAAATCATTAAAAGAAAAAATCAGCTAAAATGTGGTCTTGAAACGTAAATTACACCTAATCATCGGTGCTTGTGCTTTTGTTCAATGTTAATTTAAAGTAGACTATTGCATGTACTTTTCAGAATATTATAATTAAATTTCAGCTTTATAAAACTGATCAAGTGAAAAAAATAATCATTCACTGGTTAACCACTTTCTATCTGATATTACTGTGATTGGAATAATTCATGTGTTTGACAACAACAAATATTGATTTCCAGATAGTTGCTTTAAGTAAACTGTGCTGGTAACTATCAGTACAGTATTATTATAAACAGGATCTGGAAGGGCACTGTCAGACCAGTGTACTAAGATTCAATGATTGTATAAAATATCTTTTCTGGACTTGTGGGAAGACATACTTCTACTCTGAAGAAGTGCTTTCTAAATTTGGCAATACAAAAAAAGTTAACTGTGATTTCCAAAGTCATCAGTTAGCCTCAGATCAAGAATAAGCCTTTTCTTCAATTATGGAAGAGATATTTTAAATTCCACAAAGGCTGTAATGAAAAATTCTCTGAATAATTAAATTAGATAGTAAGTGGTTAACATGTAATTTGATCTTTATTATATAACAATTTATGATTCAAAAACACTATTTCTTTGACAGATGATCTTCCCAAACCCAAAACTACTGAAGTTATTAGGAAGGGGTCAATTACTGAATATACAGTAGCAGAGGAAAAAGAAGATGGACGACGCTGGCGTATGTTTAGAATTGGAGAACAGGACCACAGGGTTGATATGAAGGCAATAGAGCCCTATAAGAAAGTTATCAGCCATGGAGGTAAGGCTGATAAAGAGTGTGCAAATGTTGGTTTGGCTTTTGGGTGGGACTTTGGGCTTATTCCTGGCTCTCTGCTCAGAGGTCAATTGTGGTAGTGTTCGGGGGAGCACATTTGGTGATGGAGGTTGAACCAGGATCAGCTGTGTGAATGGCAGCTCTCTTACCCCTGTTCTATCTCTCTGTCCCACAGTTAGATTTTGCAATTAATTATTGGCAATCCAGATTCTTAAATTATCCCTGAAGTATGACATAATTTTGAAAACAAAACATTTAACTTGCCTTTTTAGAAATACAGGATTTGAAGTTTAAAAGATTAAAATGAGTATTTAAGAATAGATGCATAAATGATTTCAGAACATATAGGATAATGCTTTGAAAATTATCTCTCTTCCCTATCCCTATCCCTAGGCGCTCAAGAAACTAATACTTAGAAATGTCCTAACAGATTGAGTTGACAAATGCTTTTTAAATTTTCTGTGTACAGCCATTGATTTGATACTCTTGACATATTGCAGTATGATTACCACCATCCTGTAACACTTTTATTTCATCACATAATAGCCTTCTTTTGGTGTAGTGAGGACATTTCAGATCTGTCTTAGCAACTTTCAAGTACTCAATACCATAATTATTTACTGTATTCATCATGCTATAATGTTCAATTTCCAGAACCTGTACTACAACTGAAAGTTTACTCTTTGACTAGCCATTTCCTCTTTCCACCCTTTAACCTGATAATAATCATTCTGTTCTCTTTCTGAGTTGAGCTTTCCTAGAATCTAAATATATGTAATAACGTAGTAGTTATCTTTGACTCGGAGAGCCTGAAGCTACTGAGAGTATCTCGCCTACGGCAGAGCCTGACAAGCTACCCATGGTGTGTTCGATATGCCAAACACAGTAACAAGTCTCACAATGGAGACATTATTGGGCCCACTCGAGCAAATCAATGAACAGCGGGAGGATAGTGACAGTTATCTTTGACTTACTTCACTGAGAGATGCTGTAATCTTATTCTTTTTTTTTAAATAAATGCACAAATAGCCATTTATATCCTTCTATCCTATACCCATAAAAATAGAGAACATCATCATTGCCCAGAAAATTCTCTTAATACTCCATCCCAATGAGTATCCACACTCTAGGGACCACTGGCCCAGTATCTTATCCCAGGATGTTTTTCCTAGTCTCCCATTACTAGAATTAACACAGTTACTCTTTTTGTCTATTTTTTTTTATATTTTTTTGACCCTCATCCATAGTTCATTCCTTTTGTTTACTGAGTGATTTCCATTGTATGTGTAAAGCATGGTTTGCTTTCTTATGCTGCTGTTTTGGTGGGACACAGTCTCCCCACTCTTGTTATCTGTGGGAAGCACCAGACCACACCCAGTGGGGAGGAATGGGCTTTCAGTCCCAGGAATCAAATTTGGGAGCAGCATGTAAGACTTGTTCTTCAGCTGTGACGCATGTCCCTGGGTCCTGTTCTAGGGGAATATAAGTGATTGCCAGTTGGGCTATTATGGTTAAAAATTCTGTGAACATCCTTATACCTTGTTGAGCATGGATATAAGTAAATCAAGTTTTCTTAAAGTGACCCTTAATTTACCCAAATGCTCTGAATAAATTTAGCTATACCAAGCATAGTTCATTTCGCTTTCTTTTTATTTATTTCTTTATTTGCTCAGACCTAACTCCTGGCAGTGTTTGGGGAACCATATCAAACATGAGTAGGCAGTGTGCAAGTAAGTGCCTTACCTGCCGTAGTATCTCTCCAGCCCCATTTCACATTTTTATGGAGCACTACCTTTACATATCTTGTACAGTACTGAAAAAGAAGGCGTTGTCTTTCCCTTAAGAAATTCACACACACACACACACACACACACACACACACACACACACACACACACATATATTGCGGGGGCTAGGAGTGCCACTGGGTGTGGCCCCAAAACCAAAAACTTACTAATCATTGGGGCCAGAACTGTGCCTCAGTGGTAAAGTAACTACCTTACACTTACCTGCAGGAGAACTCCATGGAGGTCTAAGTAGGAGGTACACCCACTCCCAACCACCCACCGTCAACACACCAAAGAAAATGTTTGAAAGTCAAATAGGAAAAGCATCAGAGTATAATTATTATAATTTCTTCCATCTGCCAGACTTCCAAATTTGGAGGTTCTCATAGGCATTGTGTGACAAGTGTCAATGCTAGTGATAGTTATGTACCCTAGTCTGTAGAGCAGGAGTGAAGAACCTTTTTCTCCATCTGGTCATTTATGACACCATTTGTGGGCAGATGGGCTGCAGGCAGCTAGTCACAGCAATCATGTCTTTTCCATCCCAGACCCATGCCAGGCCTCATGATTTCCAGAGGCCAGGCCTTAAACACATCACATGACCTGACTTCCTCCCCCTGCCAGACAGGGCCCACAGTGGTCAAACAGCTGGGTCTTTGTGTCAGGTAGCCAGTTTTCATTTTCCTTGAAACTTGCATTCTCTTAATTACTATTATTATTTCATTTTGGGGGCTACACTCATCAGCGCTTTGGGGCTACTCTTGGCTCTACGCTTGGGGCACCATATGGTACTGGATATTGAACCTTGGTTGGCCACATGCTAAGCAAGTGACTTATGCTGTGATCTTTCTCCTGCCAATCTCCTGACCATTTCTGTAGTCTTCATCTAAGAGCCGACATTTGAATATCTGTACTTATATTATCCTGCCTAATTCAATCTTACTTAATAAAGAAAATGACGATTGTCTGAATCAGGAAGTCCTCAGAGTTGCATTTACTTGAAATGCTTAATTGGAAGCAAGTTTTGAGACCTGCCTATAGTTAAACATAGTATCTTTTTGAATGAACACTTTTTGTTTCTTAGGAGAGAATCATTAGGACCATTTTATCTAGTCATACTCACTTTGCTTTGTAACTGAGAGACTCTGAGAACTTATAAAGATTTTAATATTGAAAATGTTTAAACCTTTCTAGGGTTTAAATCTTTAAAACTTTCTGAGCAATAGTAATGTGAGTAGAAGCAGAACTATTTGACACTTGATACAGCTTTATACTAAGAGGTGAGAGTTGAAAGGTGACATTCGGAGTGTGTGGGAGGTTGCCTCTCCTGGTCTCCTCAGCCCTCCCTGCAGGGCCCTGTATGCTTGCAACCAGCAGCGCTCAGAGATGGGGCTGTCCAGCTTGTGTGTGCAGGGACACGTACCCCTGTGCCATCTCCTGGTCACAGACATACACATTCTAGCCGTTTTCCTTTATTTAGGATTATGTCAGAGTTGCAATCTTGATTTGGCTCATCTTAATCTCTAAACTCTGTAAGCTGTTGTGCAGGGATGAATTAAAGCCTTTCTTCTAATGCACCGCTTCACTGTAAGGTGCATCGAACTGTTCCCTTGCAGTCACTGTAACGCAGTGGGGTCACACTTGTATGCATCTGCCTGTTCAAGGAAGGCTGGCTTTCTTGTTGTGTTTGTTCAAGTGGATTTCTGATTTTAGGATTCTTTCTCCTCGAGTTTTATCCCTCTTTGAGAAGGATTGAAAGATCTCTATGAGACTATATACATCATCATAAATACAAAAATATATACTTTTGAACCATTAATCTTTCAGCTAAACTGATGTTTTCTGAAGTTTTCAGAGTAAAATTATGCTGGTGAGGGACCTGAATGATAATACAGAGGGTAGGGGACTTGCCTTGCACATGGCCCATGTGGGTTCAATTCCTGGCACCCCAGGAATGGTCCTCTGAAAACCTCCAGGAGTAAGCCCTGAACACCACCAGGTGTGACCCCAAAACAAGACAAATCATGTTGGTGATCATCTCCGGTTTTTTTTTCTTTCAGGATATTATGGGGATGGATTAAATGCCATTGTTGTGTTTGCTGTTTGTTTTATGCCTGAAAGTAGTCAACCAAATTATAGATACCTGATGGACAATCTCTTTAAGTAAGTATACCTTCCAAAAAACATTTGGGCCTGAAACTTATTAATAACTTTGTAAATCACAGTGCCTCAATTAGAAAAATAAAAGTAATATGTTTGGACAGACTTATGAGTAAATAAATCATAACAAAACTTTGAATTGGGTAAAAATTATGAGTATCCTAGTTCTGGTTCCTTATTCTTTGGGTAACTTAAGAAACTCAATTTTTAGCTCAACAGAAAAATTGTCATCTTAAGTCTCAACCAGGTACTTCAGATGATCTGTTTCAGCATTTTTTGTTCTTGGAAAAGCCCATATTTGGGTCCATGCCCAGCAGTGCTCAGGGCTTACTCCAGTCTCTGCACTCAGAGATCATTCCTGACAGTGCTAAGGGAACATATGGGATTCTGGGGATTGATGGCTATGTGTGGTGCAAGGCCTTAACAGTTGTACTTCCTGCCTCTGCAAGGGCACCTCAAAAAACAAACAAAAAAGTTTAAAAAAAGAAAAAGGAAGAAAAGTGACATCTCAAAGTCACTTGACTAAATTTCACTTTTTCCTTCTCCACTTTACCAAATATAACAGTTCTATTAATTTTGTTTAATTTCATTTTCAGAGTTCTCACTCTCAAGTTTGTGTATTTTTTAAAAACTTTACTATAGAAAATCTCAAACATACAGATAGAGAAATACATGAATCTTTGTATTAACCAGCTGCATCCACATTATCAGTCTGTGTTTCTCCCAATCCATACTCCTTGAACTATGATTTTTGAAGCAGCAATGTGTAAACATTTAAGTGGAGCCCTAGGTAGGGCTTAATGCTGTTATGTGCATGAGGGATGTGTGTGTGTGTGTGTGTGTGTGTGTTGCATACCACCATCACCCCACTAATGTCATTTGAAGATTTTAATTTTCTTTGTTGGTTGCTCAGTTGTTTTTTGGAAGGAGAATTTGTATGATATGAATAACCCATTTCTCTGGGGTAATTTTAAGACTTTAATTTTTTGCAGGGGTAATTTTAAGACTTTAATTTTTTGCAGGTATGTTATTGGCACTTTGGAGCTGTTAGTAGCAGAAAACTACATGATAGTTTATTTAAATGGTGCAACAACTCGAAGAAAGATGCCCAGTCTGGGGTGGCTCAGGAAATGCTATCAACAAATTGATCGAAGGTATTTGAAAACTAATACCTGCATAATTTTTATAATGGCCTTAGTAAACTTTATTTTCTGTTGCCATTCATCCTGAATAATAGTTAACAGTTTTATAGCAAGTTTCAATTGTCTCCCAGTATTTTTATATGTCATGACGGAAATCAGTTTTGATCTTTTTTTAACAAAGAATGACTTTTAATTCCTCAGAGAAAACCAGAGTTCTTTATTTCACCTTTTTAAAACTACACTGTACATCTTCCTATAATTTCCATTTTTGGAAAGGATATTTAATGCATTTCCTTTTATATTTCCCAACCTGAATTTTAACTATAGTGTTCTCATATTTTGTGTTTTCTGAGGTATTTTACCATGTCTTTTTTTGGAATAAACTCTGGAATTTATATCCTGGGAGTGAGTTAAAGCATTGATACTAAGAAGGAAGGGATTTTGATCCTTCTATTGATTGACTTTGACTTTAGCTAATTCAAACTACTTTAACTCACTCAAGTCTTGAAAAATACAAGCAGTTTATATCTACATAATGTATTGGCCTGTATCCCTGGTACAGCAGGGTTCTGGAAAACCATTGTATGTGTGCTAGGAGACATTTAATAATAGGCTAGGCTGTGAACATAAATGTAGTAAAGTAAAGGAATTTTAGAATGCATTATTGTCTTTTGGAATATCACATCTGAGAGAACTTGTGGATGGGTAGGATTTTTTTCCCCCTTCGGGGTTTTTTTCTGGTATAAATTTATACGTGAGTAATGTCATATTTTTTCCTCTGTCAATAGAATTCATAGAACTGAAATTTTATTTTTTTTCTTAACTAGGTTACGGAAAAACCTGAAATCTCTAATCATTGTACATCCATCTTGGTTTATCAGGACTCTTTTGGCTGTTACAAGACCATTTATTAGGTAATGTACTGAGATTCATTGATTGTATATATAAAAACACCCAACTCCTTGCATGAATTTGGGTCTATTGGGGAGAGTTTTTTTGGTCAGAAATATTGAAGTAATTTTAATTCTCTCCTGCAGCTCAAAATTCAGCCAAAAAATTAGATACGTCTTTAATCTGGCAGAACTAGCAGAACTTGTACCCATGGAATATGTTGGCATACCAGAATGCATAAAACAGTATGTTTCTTTTTTTTTTTTCCTTTAATTGTACTGGATCTTAATATTTTGATATGCAAGAGGTAAATACTTTTAAAAATACTCATTCTTTCTCACTTCATATATTGTTAATATTTTATAAATAAGTATTCTTATTTGAATAACAAAATGGGAAGAAGCCATTTTCCAGTACCTTTAGTCATCTAGCTATGGGAAGAGATAGGAGGTGATCTTACTTCTAGTTGTGATTATTTACATTTTTATGGACTAGCTACCGTACAGTAAGAGATGATTTCCAGATTGGTCAGTACCAAAAAACATTATCCAAACTTGCATATATTGCTTTCCAAATTTGAGTAAGCTTATCATGACATCAAAGAACGATAAATACTAGAAAAGTAACAGTTATCTGTTAGTCTAGGCATAATATTTTCTCATGGCTGAATTTTGTTCTGTTTCCCAAATTTAGTTACTTCCATCTAACTTTTTAAAGGGCATGGTAGAAGGTTAAGTACTTGAGCATCACAGAGCTATAATATAAAAGAGGATTTCTTTGTTAATCTGAGGATTTTGTGTCAAATTACTTACGTTTTGTGTTTTACATAGTGTATTACTTCACTCTTGCATACAAATTTTTATCACTTTAAGTGGCTTATTTTTTTTAGTTTTTGTGCAATTTTTTATAACATGACTATTTACTGAAATAACTCTTCCCTACAAAGGTATGAAGAAGAAAAGTTAAAAAAGAAACAAAAACAAAAAAGGTATATGCACACCTTGACTGGGTTGCATCTAGACTAGTCCGTTTGCACTGCACAGACTAACTCTTGTTTGGTTAGCTTGTAGACAAAGATAACTGCATTTGTAAATATAAATATGCCCTAAACCCCAGGGTAAATCCAAAGTTTTCCTGATGCTGAGTATGGCTTGGATTGACCCTCTTTGTAAAACTTTATGTGATACCAATTGGGAATTAAAGGTCCCACACTTTTTTCTCCTTTTTGGTATAAAAACTAATAATTCAAACCAGAGAAATTGACAGTACTATTTCAAAAATTAGGTATCTCTTTAGAAATCATCTGTTTCATTATATTTGAATTTCTAATGCGTATATTGAAGTATTAGGTAATTGATTAATTGGTTTATTTCCCCGGGGTTAATGATTATATTTGCAATGCACGTATTCTTTGGCTAACCAACATTGATTTCCATGTATGCTTAAATGGCCTGCTAACCAGTCAGATTCTACATGTGACAAACTATCTGTTTGATATACCATTTAATAGTTAAACACTTTTTCATCTTAAAATTAATTGTGGATACTTCTGCTTTGATCATAACAAACTATTATCTGTTAATATCTGTATACCAGGCAGGGATAGTATTTGGATTTAAATTGCTGGTTAATATTTAAAATGCTGATAATTAAGCAAAACTTAATACAGTCATTGAGTCAAGGTGAGAATTTTATATATAATCATTATTTTGATTATTCTGAGGAACCAGCTGTAAGGAACTGAAACTGAAGTGTTTTTTGATTTTAAACATTTTAAAGAGTTGGTGAGGAATAATTCAGTTTACCATGTCATTGAATCCTAGATATCTATTTCTGTACAACACTTAACAGTGTAGCATTTTAGTATAAAAGTATTAACTGATTTTTAGATAGCATTAATTTCTTATTCCTTTCTAGGCATTGTGTTCATTGCTAGATAAGTGTCTAAAGTTAAAAGTATATAATTGTAGAATACTTTAAAACTACTTTATGGATTTCAAAATGAATTGCCTTTATTAATAAAATCTGTTGTATTTACTTACTAGTTAAGTAATTTAGAGGACTGTTTTGTAGCTCAGTGGTAGAACCCATGCCTCGTATTTATAAAACCCTGGGTTTGGTCTCTGGCATCACACATATACAATCAAAAATAGAATTCAGGCATCAAAAAAAATGGATGGGGATGGGAGGATTGGGCCACACCTGGCAGCGCTCAGGGACAATTCCTGACTCTGTGCTCAGGAGTTATCTCTGGCAGTGCTCAGGGGCTATTCCTGGCTCTGTGCTTAGGAGTGAACTTCGAGAGTGCTCAGGGCACCATTTATGGTACCAGGGATTCAACCCAGGGTCAGCAGGATGCAAAGCAATGGCATTAACTCTTGTACTATTTTTCTGGAAATAGGGACTTTTAACTTTGAAATGGACCAGTATTATTTCATCTTGACTACCCCCCCACCACAGCAACCTACCTCAAACTTGATGTTTAAGTAGAACCATTACTGGGTCTATATTCCCAGCACCATATAGTCACCCCACAGCACTCAGGTGGCCTCAGTATCCCCAGCACCACAGGACCTGGGACCTTGCATTGAACTGCTGCCCTGGTTGGCTGAGAATTCCATGGGATCAGCCCCCAATTCTGCTTGCTAAGGGAAAAAAAAAAGAAGAAAGAATCATTACCTGTATCTTTCAGGTGCCACATTGTTTTATTTAGCCTTAGAAAATAAATCCTTGTCAGCTAGAAAATAACGTTTCAGTTCTTTAATAGGCTTATTTTCAAAGCCAAACCAAAACTTAACCAAGATTATGATTTGGGGATCTTACCTGAAATGTACTCTTTAATGGGTACTGATAGTGAAAGCACAAAATTGAGCATTGATATATAGCACTTTCAAATAATCTGGGAGGTTTTTGGTTTAGTTTTTCGGTTGAGTACTCTTTTTAGTTTTTTGTTGTTTTGACCACGCCCTGCAGTGTTCAGGGGTTACTCCTAGCTCTGTGCTCAGGAATTGTTCCTGGCAGTGCTCATGGGGACCATATGGGGTGCCAGGGATCAAACCCCGAACCCGGGTCTGCCATATGCAAGGCAATTGCATCAAAAGCCCCATCAAAAGTTCTAGAAGTCTTAAACAGTTCATTGTAAGTATTGTCAGTTATCAATAGTATGAAAACTATAGTACTTCAACATTTTTTCCCCTTGGTTTTGGGGTCACAGCAGCAGTACTCAAGGGTTAGTCCTACCTCATCCTTAGGAATCAAGGGATCAAGCCTGGTGGGGCTCAAGTGATCATATATGGTGCCGGAGATCCAAACCAGGTAGTGCTCGTGCAAGAAGAGCTCCCTACCTACTGCACCATCTCTCCAGCCCAGTTAAATATACATTAGATGTTGAAAATATTAATGCCATTATAAAAATTATTTTAAATGTTAATTTAGTCAACTCATTAATGCTCATGATCATAATCGTGAGCAGTGATGACTATGGAACATTTTGCAGAACAGTTGTAGTGTCTGTAAATACACGTTTCTGTCACCAAATTTTAAAATAATGGTCAGTCGCCACTGTAATGTTCCAGGTAGTCATATTTGAAGGAGTTGTTTTTTTCTGCTGAAGTTACTGTTCACTTCAATAGAGAACCTACAATGCAATAATCTGATATGCTTATTGTAATTTGAACTTATAATAAAATTTATGAACATTTGTTTATAAAGTACTTAATAGTTTTATAGGAAAAAGGTCATTTCTTGCCTGTGGCATCTTGCCTATAAAAATTATCTTTTCCTGGTTGGGGAAATTTTGGTAACTTTTTTACTATGTCTGCTTCATTGCAAAGCTTTATTTTAACAGAATAATACTTTATGCTAAAAATTGTAATTATTTTTAGAGGGATACTTGTTCATTTGTTGGTGGGTTATCTGTATTGTTTTTCATCATAGAGTCGACCAAGAGCTTAATGGAAAGCAAGATGAACCAAAAAGTGAACAGTAAGTTTGGCGTCTGGCGCAGCGAGCCTGAAGAAAGTGCCGAGGAAGCAGTGCTCTTTTTGCACTTATAATGCGTCTGTTGGCCCTGATTTTATGTAACCTGTCACAAAAATAACTTGACTTTCCTTAATGGACTTTTGTGTAAGGAACTGTTCACTGCTGTATCAGTTGCAAATCTCTTGCAAAACAGTTGCAAATCTCTTAGTTAATTATGTTGTAATCGTTTTATATTTTATATTACTAAATAGCAGAGAACCGTACTTTATATAAAGCTGTTTTTGCATTTGTTTATTGAATTATGCATCTTCTTCAGTAAAATATTTATATGTCTAAGTGGTAAAGGAAAGAGATAATATATATTTTTTATGTTTTTGAGCAATATTTTGTAATTATACCTGCTTGTGAAAGGATATGCAGGTAAATAAGACCATGATTTGTACAGAACATGTTAAAATTTCTGTTTTTGTAAATGGTTAAGAACATTTCCTAAGTAACTTAGAAAACAAAGTTGCTCATGAGATGAGGGACAGTTAAAACTGGTTCTCATGATTGCCCAAAGGTCATGCACAAGACATTTTAAGTAGGTTAGTACAATCCTAAGACTTTCCTCTCATTTTATGTATATTATTGATTCAGATGTGCAAGTACAAGTGCATTGCACACTTTATTAAATTTAAAGATAAGTCAAAAGGCCATTTTTTAGAACTAAAGAATTTTGAGAGTTAGCATTTCTTGTGGATATATGGAACATGTTTCCTTCTGGCCAAAAGTTGTACTTTAAAAAAAAAAAATACTGAGGTTTGCTCACTAATGTGAAGTAATTGTGTGCCCAGGGTATCACTCTCCTGAATTTGAGTGCAGTGTAGTATTCAGAGAATGATGAGTTATTCACTGTCACAACTTTTCTGTAGAAAAACGAGCTGCTTTTGAATTTCAATGTGGGCACTTTACCAAAATACTTCCATATTGGTTATTTAAACTTGATAAGTGTTTAACCTAGTTAGATATAGTGTGTTTTTACGTTTTCTGTTGAATTATTTTCTGTTGAATTACAGTACTAGCAAAGCTAGTACTGTAAATTAAGCTAATTTTTTAACTCTTAGAGCATTATTATATTATGCTATTTTGGGATGGCACATATAAAATAGGCACATAAACTCCATATTTGATTTGGTCAGTGCTTTTACTCTACATTTAATAAAATTGTTCTTAACATCCCTAAACAGAACAAAATTTAAAAAAGCACCATAATATGACAGATTAATCTAATACTGCATCACCCACCTGGGAAGCTCAGTATCCTCTTGAATTAAGAAATATACCTCACTTCTTCTACAGGGCACATGCGATGCGTACCCTAGAGTAGCAGAACTGAAGCCAATCAGAGCTAAGCTTTTTAGATTTGTTTCTGTTCAAAACACGCAGAATCCTTTTACTGTTGCCATGTTTTGTATAAAACTTCTACTACACAAGAGAATTGCCCTTTACTTTTGCCATCCTCTGTCATAAGGTGGCATGCTGCTTTAAAGTCCGGTGGGAGTTCCCAGAGGCTTCCTCATAATGACATGCTCCAAGGCAGCTTCCTGACTTTGACTCAGGTCTTTGCCTTGTGGGCAGATCCTGAACAATCGAGATAGTGAATAAAAGCCAAAAACCATTCTTGCTTGTAAAAGCAAACTAACAATTAACAATTTTAACATACATTCCTTCTGAATTGACCATATAAGGGTTATGGATAAAGGATCTTAATGAATTTAATGTGATTAAAATTTATATATGTTGAGTGTTTTCCTATAGTCCTTACTGACACTCAAAATGAAGCTTTTTAACATGTGGTTTTCCTCCACATAAAAAAAAGGGTGTTCTTCAGTTTAAAAAAAAATACCAGTAGTCATTTTAGTGCTTTATGTTGACTATTGCTTTTGCAAGCATTGTTTCTGTTGATATACACTGTTACAAAAGTGAGTTTTACTAAGACCTTTTAAAAGAGGAAGTTACTCTACTATTAGAACATTAAGTTCAGGAGGAATAGTGATGATACTTGGGGTCTGACTAAGGGAATGTGCTGTGAATCACACAATGTGCCTCTCTTCTACCTTATGGAGTCTGGCACAGCAGCATTCCCTATAGTTATTAAGACTTAAGATCATAACTGGTAGGCTAGAGGAAAAGTATGTATTAACTTTAATTGGATGCTTTTGCCCCTATTTTTTGTTTATATTTGAACTATGAGTGCTGCTTCTGTCAAAAGGTCCATGCATAAAATAATCTAATTGTGTCTCTGGCTTGGTCATATCCTTCAGTAACACCAAGAAAAGATGTTACAGTGACTGCAGTTTAAGCTTAATAATCGTGAACTGGGGTCAGGGAGAATGAATGAAGGAATATGATTGTAAGTAAGGCCTAAAAGACCTTTGGAGAGGAAGATGACAAAAAATAAGGAAGAAAGAAAATTATAGGGGCTAGAAAGTGTACAACAGATAGAGCACTTACCTTGCATGCAGCAAGTCCCACCAGAAGTGATTTCTGAGTGCAGGGCCAAGAGTAACCCCTGAGCATTACCTGGTACAGCCAAAAAGCAAGGGAAAAAAGAAAATTCTAGAGGAGTAAAGAGTTCTTTTGAGTATAAGATGCCATCGAATGACTGTCCGGGACAAGGGGTAGTACTGTATGTGGCATCAGGAAAACTGGCAAGAATGAACAGAGTGTGTCTAAGGAGACAGCAGAGAGGAGCTGCTGCCTGTAGGAGAGCTTCCTGTTCCTGTGATCTCTTGCTACAGAAGCAAATTTGAACAGAGAGGAGAACAGATTAAATTTAGTAGTAGGTCATTTTTCATGCTTAAGGGTTATAAGCATAAATATAATCTTCAAAGTGGAAATCACCTTAGTAACTGCACTGAACACTGAAACATGCGAATGGTAATGAGTGTATATCAGAACTCCTTCGGCTGCAATTCTAGAATTTAAAGAAAGTAATCTCTTTTGGGGATCGATCTTGTAAACTTCTTGGCTATAAGGCATTATAAGTTGGCCATTTTATGAATCTATTCAGGCAGTTTGGAAGTTTCCAATTCAGTACAAAAATAACTCTTGATTTCTTCTATGGATAAAGTCCAGGTTATTGAAGAGACTGGAGCTTCATCATGAGGCCGGGACTCCAGCCTTCCTTTGCTCATGTGAAAAATTACTGACTTTGTTCTATCAGAGACAGGAGAAATCGACAGAAAATAGAGATTGTGACCACTGTTCTATATAAGTATTTAAGAAATGTATCTCAAATCTCAGAAAAGGTGGGCTAGGTGGAGGTGTTAATGTACTTGTAAATTACAACTATTCTATTAGAGAACAGAAGTTACATGGTTTAAGTGCTGGGAGAAGAACACTTAGATTTGCAAGGCTGTGTCTGCTGTTAGTGTGGGGGGAAGGTAATGGGATATTACCCAAACTATTCTAGGGAGCCCCTCTACCCTCCTCCCACCCCAGGATTCAGAATTAATTAAAAGAAGGTCAATGGTAAGTCCCTAATGGAATGTTCCTTTAAAATTATAAATGGTAATTGGAAGAGAATAACACTAAAATTAGAAGAGGGGCCAAAGAGAGAGTACAGTAGGTAAGGCACCTCCTTTGCACACATCCATACCAGCACCCTTATGGTCCCCCTAGCCCACCAGAACTGATCCCTGAGTGCAGAGCCATTTTGGGCCCAAAAGCAGACCAAAAAAATAAAATGAAAATAGAACTTTATTGCAATTATGTATTACAAAATAAAAGCTATAAAATGCTGACAACAGGTAAAGACTAGGTGAAAGTCAAGTATCTAATACTTGTCAATTAATAGGGAATAAATAAACTGGTTGCTTCAAGATAGTCTGATTCAATCATAAGGCATTCCACAAAAGGTTAAGACATTTTCACTTTGAAATTTCTGTGCATTTTCACATTCAATATGACTAAGAAGAAATTTGAAAAATATATTACTCCCATGTTTTTTAGAAGAAAGAAATGTGTTTTTTTAATGGACTTTGAAGTTTTGCACTGCCTTTACTTTATTTACATTATTCTGGCTAATCTCAGTAGTGTTCAGGGCAACTGACTTGCCCAGCTCTTGAGGATGGCTCAGCGTTCTTAGCCAACACAATTCAGAGTTGGTTAGGTAGGAATGCACTTTGACAAACATTTTATCATTTTCTCACCATAAACTTATACTGCCATTTCGATAGTGTTCTGTGGTCTTTTTACTACTATTCAAATGATATTACCTAGCTTAGAGTTGCCATTTTATAGTGTGAGAAAATCAGTTTTGATGACTGTGTGCAAGATGTAGATGACCCTGTAAAAATAGGCTGTTTCTCCATTAACTAAGGAGAGGCAGTATTTTATTTTGACTGTTAGGATTTCAGTTAACTTGTGTCCTGGTTTGTTGCACATATTTTTGCAACATTAATGAACTTAAATAAATTCATTGGAAAGACTGTTTTTGACTTGTTTCATCACATTTTTGTCTTCTATTCTGGCTTTCTTGCACCATGCATTTTTGCATAATTCAGTAACTGGGGCGTTGATCACACTTTTCTTTCATTGTGCTACTAAATTTTTCCCTGTTTATTTTGTAAGACTTTTAAGATAATCATAGACCTACACTGTTTCTCTTTCTGTAGCGTTGCTTCCTGGAGTTGAAGAGCTTAACCCATTTTAATTTTATTCTGACTTTGTATTTCTCTGGAATTATTTCACATGGTGGGGAACTCAGGGATGAAATCGGCTCAGTGAGTGACTGGACAGGAGCGTAAATGAGAGCTGGTTTTGCTTGTGGATCTGCTTTAGCGGGTCCATTGGCAGCACTGCCGTTTGCTGACTCCTTAATCAGAATAGCAAACAGTTGTACACGGTGCTGCCTTTAATCACAATTAGAATCCCGTTTGTGATTTATATACTCAAAATAGATGTAACTTATTGATACTGCAGTATTTCTTTTCCATTAGGCATAATTTTTTAAAAATTCTCCGATATTAAAATACTTCGTAAGTCACAAGCCGGAAAGAAGCACACGGAGTTCAAGGAGCTGTAGCCTTATTTTGAATGGAAAAAAAATAATAATTACCAACCATCAAAAGGTGTCTCGGGGCGCCGGACCTGGCTCCTGGCTGACCTCTGGCTGTGCGGGCAGGAGTCGCAGGGCGGCCGGGCGTGGAGCGCCGTCCTAGGCATCTCCGGGGGGAGGGGGGCGAATCCTCCATCCCGCAAAGTCGTCCGCAGTTTGGTGTCGCGGTGTCAGAAACCGTGTTACCCTCTCTACCCCGCAGGCGTCACGGAGACTGCCTTAAGGCGGGAAGAGGTGGAAAAGCATCTGCAGAGAACGCTCCTGGGGCGCTCTGGCGCCCGATAGCCCGGCTCAGAGCAGCTAAGCTCCGGCCCGGCGCTCCAACCCCGGGCGTGAGTGACGGCCGCGGGGCCCGCCCTCGCGGAGTCACTTCCAGGTTGCGCGAGCACTTCCGGGTCGTCGGCGCGGCTCCGGGGTTCGTGCGGCCGCCGGAGAGGAGGTGGTGGGCGTCGGTGTCTCCTGCCGGGCTTCCGTGCGCTCGGCGGCGGGAAGCGCCGTCCCCTCCCCCAGGTACTGCGCGTCGGTGTGGCCCCTGCGTCCCCGGGTGTCCGCCCCGCTCCGGCGGGGTCCGGGTGAGGCGGCCGGGCCCGGCGCTGCGAGGTCGCGGTCGCGCGCGGGCCGGGCTGTGGGGGCCGCGGCGACCTGCGTTGTGGACCCCTCCCAACCCCCCGGCGCGGCGGGCCGCGGTTGTGCTGGGCCCGGGCGCCTGCCCCCGTGCTCTTGCATTGCCGAGGCCTGGCTGGTGCCGGTTCGTGCGGGAGAGGAGAGCCGAGTTCCAGCCCGCGGAGCTCAGTGAGAGGGTCCGAGCCGGCGCCTGGCGCAAACTTGCGGCGTCTCGGGGGGCGAGGCCCGGGGGTAGGGGAGGGTGGCCCTGGCGGCGGGGGCAGGACCCAGGGGCCAGCCCAGTGTGAACTGGATGAGGGAGGCGGGGGCGCTGGCAGGCCTTTGAGGACAGCCCCGAGCGGGGCTCCGTCGTGGGCAGGATGCCCCCAAGGGCACCGCTGGAGACGAGGGGCTCGCGGTAGGACGCAGGGTCTCGGGGACGCGGGCTAGGGGAAGGCTGAGAAGTGGGGATGCCCAGAAGGGTCCAGGCAAGGGCGAGTGTGGAAAGCGGGAAGCAAGTAGGAGGCGATTCCCGTCATCCCGCCGACCCGTCGCCTTGGCTGACCAGGGAGGCAGCGGCGAAGATGAAATGGCTGGACCTTGTGCGTGTGAGTGAGGCTGAGAGACCTTGTGGGGCCTCCGGTGGGGAAAATGGGCCGAGGGTGGGGGGATTCAGAGGCTCTTGGATAGGCCCAGGGAAGCAGGGAGTGGGCCGGGAGTGGGCACAAGGGAGCCCGGTAGTTGATGACTTGGAAGCCATCAGAATGGCGTCGTCGAAAGCCACGACCTGCATGTCCCCACTAGGGTGAGAAGCAGCAGGAGCGCTGTTGGTTGTTGCCGGGTGGCTAGAAGAGTTCAGGAGGGAGAGGGTCAGCCAACAGGACACTTAGGGGCAGGATGGGCCAGTGATGCTAGAGAACCCCAAAGGTGGAACTCCTGGAAACGAAGCCAGGACACTGTGTGGGAGGACAGAATCCGCCTTGCTGAGTGCTTGGGTCTGGCGACGATTGAGTATGGAGAATTAATTGGCTTTTCGCCCGTGCCGGGGGTGACTTGCCCCTCTGGCAGTTCGCGTTCACTCGAGACCTGCAGGCAGCGAGGAGTGAGCTTTAGAGGAATGGTAGGAAAGAAGTGCTCTGTTTTGCTGCAGAAGAGGAACAGAATAGAGTAGAGCTAGCGAGAAAGTGAGTCTTAAGTCTGGAAGAGGTGCTCTCCTGCTTGTTGGTGGGAATGATACATTGGAGTGGAGAGTAAGGAAACTTTGAATTGTTGGCACTGCCTCCTGGAGATCACTAGATGGTTTCGGGCCTAATGGCAGGTGGGATTGTATTGGTAAGGGCAGTGAATAGTTTGGCAATAAGTGATGGGAATGGGTTTTGGAGGCCACACCCGGTGGTGCTTAGGGTGTAAGCAACAGCACAGCAGGTAGGGTGTTTGCCTTGCACGTGGCCAACCCGGGTTCGATTCCTCCCCTCTGGCAGAGCCTGGCAAGCTACCAAGGGTATCCCGCTAGCACGTCAGAGCCTGGAAAGCTCCCCATGGCATATTCAATATGCCAAAAACATGACAACAAGTCTCACAATGGAGACTTTACAGGTGCCCGCTGGGGCAAATCGATGAACAACAGAAGGACAGTGCTGCAGTGTTTAGGAGTGACTCCTGGAGGTATGCAAGAGACCATATCAGTGCCAAGAATTCGAGTTATGGTCATGGGGAGACAAGACATCGGGTCTTACCACTAGAGCTAACTGACCAGCCCAGGTACTAGCATTTTCACCCTGACGCCAAGTTCATTTATTCACTAAACAAATGCACTTGGTACATACTAGGCATTTTTCTAGAAAGTAAAATGTTAACCATAAGCAAAAATCCATCATGGAACATCTCTTTTAGTGGCTAAGAAGCCAAATTGGCCAGAGTGGTAGTAGTACAGTGAGTAGGTGCTTGCCTTTCATGCAGTCAGCCCGTTCCAGTCCCTGCATCCCGTATGCCCATATGGTTCCAAAACAAAATGGAACTTACGTGGTTCTTTTTATAGGTTTTTCAGAGACATCCGTTTTGATCTGACTCTCCAGTTTACCCAGTACTATTGGAGGTATTTTCCTTGCTTTGTTATATCATCATGGTCCTTTGTCATAGGTTTGGTGTTATATGTATGTAGGTCTGTTTCTGGATACTTGTTCTTATTTCATGAGTACATTTTTAGGGGTTGTTTTTCCATCCCCACTTTATTGAGCTTTTACAATAGGTGAATGACTAATCTTGTCATATCCATTTTCTATCTATTTGTATGATTTTTGTCTTTCTTTGATTGTATTGATTCATCTGCATGTGTCAATCTTTATATCGTTAAAATACTTGGTCATGGTGTATGATCATTTTAATGAATTTAATTCCATTTGCTAATATGTTTTGAGAACAGTTATAATACTTTTACCATTTTATTAAGCAGTTTTTGTCATGAATGCTCACTTTACAAGTGCTTTTTCTGCATCTATTGATAGGGTTTTGTGACATTTTTTTTAATCTGTGCCTTTAAAAAATAGTTTTGGCACCACAACCAATGGTGCTCAGGGGTTACTCTAGGCTCTGCACTCAGGAATCGCTCCTGGCAGCGCTCAGGGGCCATATGAGATGCCAGGAATTGAACCCAGGTCAGCTGTGTACAAAGCAAATGCCCTACCTGCTGTACTATATAGCTCCAGCTCCTAATTTGTGCTTTTACTGATACTGCTTATTACATTCACTGATTTGCTGAAGTTGAGTCATCCTTACCTCCCTGGAATAAATCCTGATTGACCATATTTAGCAGTTAGTATGAATTTGATTTGCCAAAATTTTGTTGGAAGATTTTTGCACGTGTGTTTATCAAATATGCATTTACATTTACAGATAAATGTGTTTATCTGTATTTTTATTCATTTTTGTTTGCAGCCTGGAGCCAGGTAGGGCACAGCGGGTAGGGCGTTTGCCTTGCACACAGCCTACCCAGGTTCGATTCCTCCATCCCTCTCGGAGAGCCTGGCAAGCTACCAAGAGTATCCCGCCCCCAGGGCAGAGCATGGCAAGCTACCATGGTGTGTTCAATATGCCAGAAAAACAGTAACAGGTCTCACAATGGAGACCTTACTGGTGCCTGCTTGAGCAAATCGATGACCAACAGGAGGGCAGTGCTACAGTTTGTTTGGGGCCACACCCAGCAGCACTGGAGAGCTTACTTCTGGCTCAGTGCTCAGGAATCACTCCTGGTGGGCTCAGAGGATTGAGTGCTAGGATCGAACCCACTTGCCCAAGTGCAGGATGACATACCCTCTGTACTATCTCACTGGTCCCTATAGTTGTCTTTTTTGTGTGCTGTGCTTTCCTGATTTGGGAATGACAGTGTAGTGTTGCTCTCATAAAATGTGTTTGGGTCTTCAAATTTTGGAAGCACTTGAAAAGGATTTTAGGTCTTGTAACTGGTAGAACTCATTGATGAATCATTTGGTCTTCAGCTTCCATTCTTCGGGGAATTTATTATTATTTTATTTCTACGGTAACTTTGCCTCTACTAGTTATTATTTTTTAAATTATTGCTTTCTCACTTTTTTCTTTGTGCACTTAGCTAAAGGTTTATCTGTTTTGTTATTATCTTTTGTATTGTTACTTCATTTCTTTCCACTCTGATTTTTATTATTGTATCCCAATATGCAACCTGTTCCCATACATATTTACATTTTTTTAGAATGTAATATTCCACACATATTAGGTCATATAGTTTTTTTTGTCATTTAATGGCAATAATATACATTGTTACTTTTCTGTCTGGGTTACCTATGGGTTGATGGAAATGAGGTGTTGAATTTGCTTAAGATTATTGTGTTGCTGTCAGTGTCTCCCTGAAGTTCACTAATGCTTATTTTGTATGTTTAGGTGATACTGTATTCAGTACATAAATACTAATAACCAGCATCTTCTTGACAGATTCATCTTTTGGTCTTTATAGAGTATCTGTGTTGTATTACCTTCTTTTGATGGAGGCCTAATTTCTCTGGAGCATGATAGCCTTTTCCTTCTCTGTGGTTAGTTTGATGGACCTTCCTCCTTCCTTTCCTTATGAATCTCTTATGTTCAGAACTAACTGGCTGTCTTGTCAGTACAGTGTGCTGAGTTCTGTTTCTAAATGCACTGATGTGGTCTTGTTGGGTGAGTTGAGTTCATTCACATGTAAGGTGATTAATTCACTTAGATTGATTTATCGCTGCTGTGTTTCTGTTATTTCTGGTTATTATGTACTTCAGTTTCTTTTCCCTAGTCTGTCTCTTCCAGGTTTTTAATAGCTCTTAGGATTGTTTTTTGCTTTTCATGCTGAAGATAGTCTCTGTCCCCTGTTACCATATTTATACTTTTGGTTCTGTTCTATTTCTTAACATCATCAAGATTTTTGGATTTTTGTTTGTTTTTGATCCTGAGGAAAGCCTTTCAACACTTCTTGTAGCACAGGTTTGCCGTTGCTGAGCTCCATTAGTGTTTCTTTGTCTGGGAAAGCCTTCATTTCTCCATACTTTTTTAAAAATATTTTTCAGGGCAGAGTACTGTTGGCAGTTAGTTTCACACTTTCAGTATTTTGTATAGGTAATTCCATTTTCCCCTGGCCTTTAGATTTTCTGCTAGAAATCTGATATTAGCCTGGTAGAGGGACTACCCTGTGGTGTGATAAATGATAGTGAGCGTGTGGGCAGACACCCCACCAGTCTACCCACACTTACAGTGTCCTTTACCATTGACGCTTTCTTTAGCAGTCTTACAGTGCTGTCTTGGTTTAGGTCTTTCTGCATTTAGAAATGTGAACTTAAGCTCCTTAAAGTTCTTTGGTTTTTTCCTTACATTTGAGAGGCTCTCAACTTTTTTTACGCACTCTGTTCCTTTCTTATCTCTCTTCACCTTCTGAGATACCTATCATCTTTGGCTTTCCTCTTTTAATTATAATCTCACTGTTCTCCATATTGTTCCTAGGTCTTAATTCTTTATCCACTCCCGTTTGTCGTTACTGTCTTCAGTTTCGCTCCTTTGCATACTGAGTCTGCTCTGCTGTCTGTGGGCATCCTCATGCATTCATTGTGGTTTTCAAATCCAGTGTCTCTGCAGTTTTTCTTGTTAGTATCAGTCTCTTTGATAAAATGTTTTTTTCTGCATTTCCTTTCTTGTTTCATTATTTCCTTTTTTTAGAATGCATTTTGTTTTTCATTTATTTTCATGATAGTTATTTAAAATAGGGCTGAAGCGATAGCACAGCGGTAGGGAGTTTGCCTTACAAGCTGCCAACAAGGCCAACCCGAGTTCGATTCCTCTGCCCCTCTCGGAGAGCCCGGCAAGCTACTGAGAGTATCTCGCCCGCACGGCAGAGCCTGGCAAGCTCCCCGTGACGTATTCCATATGCCAAACACAGTAACAACAAGTCTCATGATGGAGACGTTACTGGGCCCGCTCGAGCAAATCGATGAACAACGGGAGGACCGTGATCCATGATCTATTTAAAATAATTTATGATCCTATAGTTTTTGTTTTTCCTTGTACTGATATATGCTGTACTACATTGCTTAGCTTGAGTATATTTTGTATATTGCATTGCTTGAATAAATCCCACTTGATCAGTATGATCTTTTTGGTGTATTTTGTTTGAATTTTGTTTGCTGATATTTTGCTTAGGAACTTTGCATCTTTATTCATCAAAATACAAGTGCTTTTGATATGAAGGTAGTGTTTGCTGCATATAAACTGGGATTGTGCCTATTTCTTCAACTCCAGTCTGTAAAAGATTGGGAATAGATCTTTAACAGTTTGGGAAAATTTACTACAAAAACCACATGATCATTTCATCAGTAGAAGCAGAGAAAGCATTTAATAACATCAGTACTCCTGATTTTAAAAATACTTAATAAAATGCGGTAAGAAAGAACTTTCCTTAGTACAGTTATAGGCATTTATCACAAAACCACAACTTGTATCTTTTTCTGTAGTGAAAAAACTGCTAGCTTTCTTTGTAGGATCAGTCACATGACAAAGTTGCCCATTCTAGGAACTTTTATTCAGTGTAGTATGGGATGTCTGACTGTAGCAGTTAGGCAAGAAAGAGATACTCAGGGTATCTAGATTGGAAAAGAAGTCAAATTTTCACTATTTGCAGATGATATGAGGCCAAGACTCTGCCTTAAAACTCTGCCCCCACCTCACCTGCCCACCCACTCCCCAACAAAAACACCTCCTGGAAACAATAAAGTGTCACTGTTTATTGGCAGTTTATTGGAACAGTAATATGGCAGGCTGCGAATCCACATAAAAAAATACATGGCAGGCTGGAGCGATAGCACAGTGGGTAGGACGTTTGCCTTGCACGCGGCCGACCTGGTTTCGATTCCCAGCATCCCATATGGTTCCCTGAGCACGGCCAGGAGTAATTCCTGAGTGCATGAACCAGCAGTACTGCGCAATGCTGGGTGTGACCCAGAAAAAAAAAAAATACATGGCATTCCTATATGCAAACAGTGAAATAGAAGAGGGAAAAGAATTCCATTCCCAATTGCACCACAAAAATATCACGTTCCTGGAAATTAACTTAACAAAAGAATTGAAAGACTTTTATAAAGAAAACTATAATTCACTGCTAAAAGAAATGACAAAGAAAATGAAAACACATTCCCTGTTTGGATTGGAAGGATTAATATTGTCAAAATGACAATCTTGCCCAAAGCATTATACAGATTCAGTTCAGTTTCTATAAAAATGTCCATGACATTTTTAAAAAGTCATAATCCAAATGCTACTGAAATTTATAAGGAGTGATAAAGAAACCCTTAGTGACAAAAACTTAGAAGAAAAAGAAGATGGGAGACTTTTCTTTACCCACCTTTAACCTGTACTATACAGCTGTAGTAAACAAGACTGTTGACTGGAATAAGCACAGATTCTCAGATTAATGGAATGGAATTGAGATCCTAGAGACAGATCCGCAGATATATATATATATTCAACAAAGGAGCAAGCGTATAAAGTGGAGTAAGGAAAGTCTCCTCAACAAATAGTGTTGGGGAAACGGGTCAGCCACATAAAATCATAAAATATTGGTCACAGACTCCCATCTCACACCATGCACAAAAGTCAATTCAAAATGGATTAAAGACCACAATATTAAAGTCAGTTCAAAATGGATTAAAGACCACAATATTAAAGTCAGTTCAAAATGTATTAAAGACCATAATATCAGACCTGAATCCATAAGTTATTTTTAGGAAAACATGCGCAGAGCCTTTTGTGACATTGAACCTAGAGGCATCTTTGGTGATCAGTGCCATTGGCTACACAAACTGAAGCAAAGATAAACAAATGGGATTACATCAAATTAAGCATCTTTGCAGACAAAGAAACAGTGGCCAAAATAGACACCCCCACAGACTGGGAAAAAATACTTCCCCACCACTCAATGTCGTGAAAGATAAATAAAGCACTTGTAAAACTTAACAAGAAAAAAAAATGGGACAAGATATGAACAGAAATTTCCTCAAGGAATACATAAGGGCAATATAGGTTCATGAAATGTGTTCTAAATCACTGATCAGGGGAATACAAATTGACACGAAATAGCACCACACACCACTGAGACTGATGCACATCAAAAACAATCAGTATTGGTATGCATGTGGGGAAAAAGGACAACTCATCCACTGCTGGTGGGAATGTAAAGGGGTTCAACCCTTTTGGAAAATAACATGGATTCATGTCCAAAAACTAAGTACTGAGCTTATGACCCAGCAAATCCACTTCTGGGCATGTACTTCAAAAAACTCTACTCAGAAAAGGCATTTGCATTCCTATGTTCATTGTAGCACTATTCGTTTATAGCCAAAGTCTGGAGACAATCCAAGTGTTCAAGAACAGATATCTGGATAAAGAAACTGGTTATATATACACACAGAAATACTTATAAGTAAAGATGAAATCATGCAGTTTGCTGCTACATGGTTGGAGCTGGAGGGTTTTGTGCCAAGTGAAGTCAGCCAGGTAAAGGTAAAAGGTAAAGGCCCTCCCGTTGATCGTCGATTTGCTCAAGTGGGCCCAGTAACGTCTCCATTGGAGACTTTTGTTGTTACTGTGTCTGGCATATCGAATACTCTCGGTAGCTTGCCGGGCTCTCCGAGAGGGGCGGAGGAATCGAACTCGGGTCAGCCATGTTGGCCGCTTGTAAGGCGAACGCCCTACTGCTGTGCTATCGCTCCAGCCAAGGAGAGACAAACGCAGAATTATCTCTCATGTGGAATTTAAAGTAACATGATAATGACCACAAACAAACCTGAGTGAAAACTGTCCTACAGAACTGAGTTTACTGTGGTGAGGAGATCAGAGTTTGGGGTAGGGGTGGTGGGGCAGTAACTGAGACCGGGGTAGATGGAAATTGATATTCTGGTAGAGGGTGTGGGGTTGGAACATTGTGAGCCCAAGTCAACACACAGTTCCTCTTAAGGCCAGGCCACAGGCCTTTCCCAGACTTACCCACAGCCCACCCCATTCCACCAGTCAGGCTGTCAGATTTCCCCTTGGATACTGATGGAGATGCCCAGCTTGGTAGACAGCTCAGATTTCCCCTCCCTCCTCCATCTCCCCTCAGAATTACCATACAAACCCTGAGGCATCAGCTGACCTCTGGCTGTGTGTTGTGGGGAGATTTGCCTATGGGTGACTTATTCCACCCTCAGATGTTAAAAGACTGTACATTCTAATAAATGTCCATAATTTGCATAAAAGCCTATGCTGAAATAATACAAAAATGAAAGAAACCTTGAAGTATTTCTTATAATTCTTAAATTATAATTGTACTTACAACAAGTTCACAATGTTTTATTTTAAATACTTTATTAAATTTTTAGGGTATCAATGCAAGCCTGAATAAGGAAACAACTTCTCCTGAACCATGGCATATCAGTTGTACAGAAATACTACTTTGGGAAACAGTCTTCAGGAGAGCCTTGATGAGCTCATACAGGTGGGAGAGTAAAAGCTAATATTTGTATTTAGATGGAGCTGCTGTAATTCTTGTACCCCTCTTCTCAGGCAAAGGGATGCGAGATTAATTATCTTAGATTGTTTGATCCAACAAGTCAGTATGCAAATAAGTAACTTCAAATTTCCTTGCTTTATACTATCCTGAATTGGGACACAAAATGTCATTAAATGTTATAATAGATTGTTATTTTTGTTAAACATAAAAGACTGAATTGGTTTGATTATTTATGTATACATATATATTTGAAATTAAAGTTCACACATATATGTGTACATAATTAGGTTTAATTGGGGGTGAGCATGGCTGGGAGTGGTTGGGGACTGTTCTCAGCCCAGTGCTTTGAGATCAATCCCAGGATGCCTAAATCATATCTTGCACTTCAGCCTGCTCTACTATTTCTCTGACCCACGACTTACAAGATTTTAATAAATATTATTATTGGTCCTCCCTTTTATGCAAAAGAAATGATTCCTTCAATTACTTGGTGCATTTTTCCAGACACTGAGAAGAAGTGATAGGCAAAGTTTTGATAGGGTACTGAGTATCATTGTGTGGCTTTCTCTTTTATTTGTATCAAAATGATACAAGAAAATATTGTCATGCTTGTTAATTGCCATTATGGCAGAGCAAATAAAGGGATGCTATTTCAGAGGCTCTAGTTAACCTCACTTAAACTTTAGATGATAATTTGCATTTAGTTTTAAAATTTTTGTCTTTAGTACTCTTCCCTAAGTGGTTTTATGTATGACAATTGCCATTTCTCAGTCTCAGCAGATCACCCCGCAACTTGCCCTCCAAGTCCTACTCCAGTTTGATAAGGCTATAAATTCAGCACTGGCTCAGAGGGTCAGGAACCGAGTCAACTTCAGGGTAAGCTTATTTGCTTTCATATGTAAACTTGCACTGATAATTACTGTGTGTTATTCGGTTTTTAAGCATACCTCCATGGCATAATAAAACTTAAATAACAAAATTACACAGAACTATTAGATTTTTATCCCGTTGTTTCGCAAATTAGCCAATGTCTGGTTTCTTATCTTCCCTGAAGAGTTAGATTTCAAACACATGAAACACTGCCTGCAGGATTTGAAGATAAGTGACAAAATAATCCAGAGGGTTTTATTTTAATTTTCAAACTAACCTTCAATTGTCCTTGGAAAGTATAGAGTTAATTCAAGAATTCTTAATGTTGCCTCCAAAAATTTTGTGATTACATGGTTGATAAAGATCGAGATTGGTGACTAATAATGGTCTAGTAACTTGGTCTGATTTGAATATTTTTGCTTTAAATAGTAACCCGAACTTAAGCAAAATCCCCAATTTGATGGTAAAGAAGCATGTGGAATTATAATCATTCCACATTATGATATGCAATAGTATTTGTTGATATTTATTATAGTTACCTTTTGTGCTTATAAGGGAAACCATAAAGTAGGAACCCAAAGATGAAAATGTAGAAAGATTAGTGTATGGAAAGAATATAGAAATTAATTGATTTGATTTAGGAGTACCTTGGTATTTTCTTTTTTAAAAGCTATTTAAACACTGTGTTTGACAAAGTTGTTTGTAATAGAGTTGCTTCAGGCATTTAATGTTCCCACCCTCTCCCCAAGCCCTTCACAGGCACAAAATAATTTATTTTATATTGCTTGTTATACCAAAATGGCTAATGAAATTACTGAAAAGTACTTCAGAAAACAGACCTATGACAGGCATTTGCCTCTCACAGGGCTAGGGCTGCTTGAGAGATCTCTGGTACTTTACAGGGTCTCCCAAGTACCACTAGGGGTGTATCTCAAAAAAGCCAGACAAATAATGTGTTCCCCAGTTATATGAGAAAATATGTATTTAAGGTACATTGAAGATAAAGATGCAGTTGGGCCAAAAGACTGTTACATCAGTTAGTTACCTAGTACCAGGAAGCTTGACCAGGGTTGTTTGGGACCCTGTGCAGTCTATCATCCTCTGATTCCCAGCATTACTGGCCCCCTGCCTTGCCTGGTGTATCCCTGGAAGCCCCCCCAAAGCCCCCCCAAAGCCCCCCTGGGATGTCTCTGCTGCTACCTAGCAGCACCACACCCAGTCTTAGCATGGAGCATCTGTCTCCTTGGCTGAGTATTGCCCCACGGTGGCACCCAAAGGCCACCTGAGCACTGTTTGGGAGCACCCTTCCCCCCCCCCACACACACACAGACACATCACAACCTATTGATCCATGTAGCAAGAATTTTTTTTTCTTTTTCTTTTTGGACCACACCTGGAGATACTCAGGGGTTACTCCTGATTCTGCACTCAAAAATCACTTCTGGCAGTTCCCAGCAGACCATATGGGATGCTGGGGATAGAACCGAGTTCGAGTTTGGCCGCATACAAGGCAAATGCTCTACCTGTTGTACTGTCGCTCTGACCCTGTAGCAAGAATTTTAAATAAATTACAGTAATTACTATTTTTTGTTGGGATTTTAGCTCACAGATCCAAAACCAGTGGAAGAAAATGACTCAGAATTTATCTGGCTAGTTTATTTTTATATTGTTAGTTCATGTTAATTACCTATGCTGATTCTAATTCAAATGTAGAAATCATTTAATAATTATATATAAAAATAATATAGGTTTTAGGCTTTATTTTGAGCATGTGTTCCATCATAAAATGAAGTTTATATACTTAAGCTATAATTAGTAGAATTTCAACATATCTGAAAGTGAATGTTGAAATACCATAAATCCCACTCACATACCTTGTGTAGTTCCTGCCAGTTGGCTGTGATGGTAGCCTGTACTCCTAGGGTTGTTGGCTGCACATCAGGTTAGAAATGCCAGAAGTCAGCCATCAACTTGTCTCTTCAGCTTTCCAGTGGCTCAGCCTGTACTCAAGGACCAGATCTAATTATTGTTTTATTTTATTTTGTTTTATTACATATACAGTTCTGTGTCCCTTTTTTCACTTGGTGTTATACATAAGTGACTTTCCCATGCATTAGTTTCACCATTCCACATGGCTTGCCAAATTATTTGTTTCTACATAGTTTGTGGTACTTTTGGTAATTTCTTTTTGCAAACCCTTACTTCCCTTGAGAACACACTGGTTTACTTCATTTCATTGGCTCTTCTTTCTCATTTCACAGGACCACCCTTCATATCACTAATGTCATTTTGTTTTAAAAAAAATCTCAAATAGCACAGCTGGTAGGGCATTTGCTTTACATGTGGCCGACCCGGGTTTGATTCCCAGCATCCCATACGGTCCCCTGAGCACCGCCAGGAGTGATTCCCGAGTGCAGAACCAGGAGTAACCCCTGTGCGTTGCCTGGTGTGACCCAAAAAGAAAAAGAAAAAAAAAGAAAAGAAAAATCTCTCCATTCTGTTGATTCCCCCTTGCTACTCTGATAGCAAAGCCCCTTCCACTTCTGACTCATGACTGGGCTAGGAAACACTGATTGACTTCTCAGCTGTTTTCTAGCATCCATCTAGTCCTCCTTCTACTTCTGGTCACCACCAAAAATACAAATCCTATTACTCCTCGCCTTCAAATGCTCCATTGGCCTCCAAACACCCTGACAATGTATAGGGCTAAATTTTTCCAAGGTTCTCCATTGTCTCTTTCACTGTAGCATCCCGAGTCATTGTATTTTCTGGAATTTTCTCTCCCATTCCAAGTTCTTATTGTCCCATCTCTACCCGGACTCTCGTTCACTCATCAGATTCAACTTAATCTTCATTCTGTAAAAGAAGCCTTCTCTACCGTGTTTCCTGTACCCTCAGGTTCAGCTTTCTTGTTTTACTCAGTAATTATGTGATTGCAGTGATGTACTGTGTATAGTCACAAATTGACAGGTCCCAGTGAACTGTACCATATACCCTACATGTGCATATACCACATTTCGATTGTATTATTTTGGGATCTCTGCAATGTTTCCTTACCTTTTAGAAATTTTCTTTCAATGTTTAGATACATATTTCTAATCCTAAAAGGAAAGCATGTTGCTAGAAGAATGTTAATTGAATAGGATAGTAATGATGAGGTCTTAATGGCTAATACAGTGATAGCCAATGTATGATGATACTTTAAACATAATGGGATAAGATTAATTAATTAATTAAGGAATTCCCTGCTTGTGTACAAATTCAGAGAATGACACATACAAAATGTTTCTTTTTATATGTTCCTGTGGGCTGGAGCGATAGCACAGCGGGTAGGGCGTTCGCCTTACACGCGGCCAACATGGCCGACCCGAGTTCGATTCCTCCGCCCCTCTCGGAGAGCCCGGCAAGCTACCGAGAGTATTCGATATGCCAGACACAGTAACAACAAAGTCTCCAATGGAGACGTTACTGGGCCCGCTCGAGCAAATCGACGATCAACGGGAGGGCCTTTACCTTTTACCTTTATATGTTCCTGTGCAAATGCAACTGAGGCTGTTGGAACATTGTAAGACTGAAACCCAGTCATGGACAACTTTGTAACTGTGTCGCTCAAGGTGATTTAATATTAAAAATAAATAAGAAAGAAAATACAAGTGAACTTTATAATTTAGCCACAGGAGGGCAGTAGAAATTCATACTTAAATTTCTGTTCAGCTTTTATTAAACACCAGATAAGTAAATTTGTCAACTCTGCCAGTACTGAAAATGGTCTGCTAACTAAAATTCTTCTCTTTCTTCCTTTAGCAAATTAATTAATTTTAAGTGATAGCATGAAAATTAAACTTGTGAACAAGCCAAGTATTTTATAATCGTTCTCAAGAATTATGTGCTTGATAGTTGATTTAATTGCTTTGGGGAAAAAAATGACTCTTCAATGGTATGTCTGTTTTCTTTTAAAGGGCTCTCTAAATACATACAGATTTTGCGACAATGTGTGGACTTTTGTATTGAATGATGTTGAATTCAGAGAGGTGACAGAACTTATTAAAGTGGATAAGGTGAAAATTGTAGCCTGTGATGGTAAAAGTAAGTGTTCTTATAATTACTGGGAAAGCCAGGTGATTTAAAATCCTTTCTGTGATTTTTTAGAAAGTCTTTATTTGAAACTAAAGGGATTGGGGGGGAATGGCTATTAATACACTCCCAGTTAGAGATCTGGTTTCTAGCCTAACTAGATTCAGAGTTCAAACATTCCTTTTACTGACTTTAGGTACAAACATTTTATATGACTTACATTTCCTCCAGTTGAATCAGTAGGGGGTAGAAATGAGCAAATAAGCTCTCTCCTGTTTCAGTTGCGAATCTGAAATGTTTTCCAGACTTCTTATAGCCAACTCTTTAAGGAAGTGTTTTCATTTTGACAACTCACCTTATGATTTTTGTGTTGGGGACATGTATACTTATATGTTTAAAAAATGGTTATTTGAAAGATTTTAATTAAATAAGAACATTATTATCATAATGATAAAGATCCATTCCTCTGATCCGTAAGGTCTGTGTAGATGTACTTTTCACAGCAGACTTAGAAATTTGTTCAGGTCATTGTTTCAAAAACTATTCCTTTTTTTTCTGTTCCACAATTATGTTTCTGCTAATTGTATTTTAAAGACACTTCTGGTTATTTTTACTCTATGATGACACATTTGCAAGTGGGTCGTTTTCTACACGTAAGTCAACTGTTCAATTAAACCTGGCTTTTAATGCCCACTTAAGATGCTGTCTTAAGCCCTTCCGAGGCTTTTCTTCCAGGTCACAAAATGTCTGAAACTAGCAATCTTGTAATGACTTTTGCCTCTAGACGCTAACTAGGAAGGAGGATTCTAAGAGTACTCTTTAATATAGGCATTAGGGACTCTTCTTTTCTGTTGTGGTAGTGAGTAATGACTTTCCATCATTGTTGGATCACAAATAACATTTTTATGTTTTAGATATTGTGTACTTTTTCATATATTTTTAATTTCTTATAATTTATAATTTTCTTATAATAACCTCAAACCCCTTGGGCTTTTTGATTTTTCTAGACAGCAGAATTAAATCAAAATAGTGATACAGATCTCTGTTGTTGAACATTAGCTTCATATTAATGGAAATGTTCCATTTGCATTGGTACATTGAAATGTGTAAACAGCAACTGGGTAATTTAATGTTTTCATTCTTACTTGTTCATTGTAACCACATGTCACAATCATATGTGACCACCATATTGGACAGCACAGATGTAGACCATGAGTGTCAATTTTAAGTCTTTTGAAATTTACTGTTTGCAAGGTTAGAAAGGTTGAAAAAACTGTTCTACCTTGGTTATAACTTCAGGTGCATGGACTGTTGGTATGCAGGACAGACACCAGTGCACAGGTGTGAAAAAGTTGAAGAACACCAGCTTAGACTAGGTGCCATGTACTTTCTGTCAGCAGAAAAGAACAGAGAGATATCTTTTCTAAAATTGAAATATGAATGGTTTGATATTGAGAGGTAGTTTAAGATAAAATTTCTTAATGACCAAATTAAAGAATACTACTATAAAATAAGTCTTCGGGCCAGAGAGATAGTACAGCAGATAGGATGCTTACCTTGCATGCAGCGACCTGGGTTTGATCCCCAACACCCCATAGGGCCCTCTAAACCTGCTAGGAGTGATCCTAAGCACTGCTGGGCGTGCGCCCCCCACCCCCCAAAAAATATATTTTAAAAGTCAGCTTTCAAAAATAAAGTTGAGTTTCTAATATTGAAATACAGATAAAAGTGGTAGTGGCTAGAATTGGCTTCTTTCTCACTGGGAATTAAATTTAGTGTTGTTCTAACTTGTCCTTTGTGACTTAAAATTTGAGCACAGTACAGTACTAAAGGAAAAATATATGGTTATGTAGCAGTTCTATGAACTAAATTCACTCTTAGTTTTCTTGTGTAAATATGGAGGGCTAGGCATGATCATTTGTCTCTTGTCTTCAAAGCAGGATGTTGGGAAGGTTTTCTGTGGTCAGCTTGTCACCAACCTTAGGGGCTCTTCACATTGCAAGCCAGAACCTTGTTATTTCTTGTTACTATGTTACTATTTTTTTAAGATGTTCTTAAAATATTTACATTTAAAAGTAATTTGCAAGCCAGAACCTTGTTATTTCTTGTTATTATGTTACTATTTTTTTTAAGATGTTCTTAAAATATTTACATTTAAAAGTAATTTGCGTCAGTGGCTGAATAAATAGCAGTACTCCTACATAATAAAAAAGAAGAAGAAGAAGAAGGAAAAAAAAAAGTAATTTGTGGGGCTGGAGCGATAAATAGTGCAGCGGGTAGGACATTTGCCTTGCACACGACCAAACCGGGTTTAATCTCCAGCATCCCATATGATCCCCCGAGCACCACCAGGGGTAATTCCTGAGCACTGCCGGGGTGTGACCCAAAAAGAAAAAAAAGTAATTTGCTTTTTAAATTGACTCTTTTCTCTCCTCTGTTTCCCAGATACCGGATCCAATACTACAGAATGAGTAGAAAATGCAGTGGCTTTTTTATGCCGTCCTCGTTATCCACTATTTGGAGAGAAGCACAGAAGAGACTTTTTTTATTTATTCTAGCATTGCAGAAATCACTACACTGTGCTAGACTATCAGAATCCCATTAGAAAGACACCTGTACTTCTGTAACATCTCATAATTGTTATGATACAGCATGAAGAAGCAGCTTTTTTCAAATGACAAATCAGACATTGTTGTTGCCTTCCTAAGAACGTTCTTTAATAAACTCATTTTAAAACAGTGTGAGTAATGACCGGTAAGCTGTTAAAATAGCAGTATGATGATATATTAGGTATCTGTTTTGCAAAAGCACATATCTCCTGCGGACATTAGAAATGCTTTTATTTCAATAGGCAGGTTCTGTCAACCATAACTTTATCAGCAAGGCAAAACCAAAATCTGGATCGGAGTTTTAGTTAGGAAAAAATGCCCTTTATTTAAAAAGTCCTTTTTTAAAGTTAATTTATTTTAATTATTTTGATTTTGATTAATCAAATCACTGTGAATGAGATACAAGTACAAAGTTGTTTATGATTGAATTCCAGGCATACAGTGTTCCCAACACCCAACCCTTCACCAGTGTACATGTCCCACCACCAATGTCCCCAGTTTCCTCTCTCTCTCTCTCTCTCTCTCTCTCTCTCTCTCTCTCTCTCTCTCTCTCTCTCGTCTTTCCTCTCCCCCTCGCTCCCTCTCAAAAAGACCATTTTTAAAAAGTATAAAACTAAGGATAAATCACTTCAATTTATTTTGTTTTGATAGCTTCCATAACCTAAACAAAACAAAAAACTTATTTTCCAAAAATTTAAAATTGTCCACAGAGCATGTAAATTATTCCTTGAGTTGACCATATTGGTGAAGATTCACATATTTTAAAGTAATCTACGTGTGGTTTTGAGAGCTAGTAGTTCTGCCTAACTTATGGCAGAACCCAGTTCAGTCCCAGCACCACATGGTTTCCCTGAACAAGGCCAGAAGTGATCCTTGAACATAAAGCTTAGGAGTGAGCCCTCAGCAGTGCAAGGTATAGCCTCAGAGAATCCTTCAAAGTAAAACAAAGATCTACATCTTACCAGTTATTAGACACTCAACAAAAAATCTTATTAAATACAGGCCATATTTTGTGTAGTTGAAAAAGTTTTTCCTTGTCTGTGAGCCTCAATAATTAATAAAAAATAAAAATCTTTTCTAAGACTCCCTCAGAAGATGTCAGACATTAGGTAGTTGAGTGACTAGAACAGCTACAGCTGAATCCAGACCTTTCCTCCACTCCTAATACCCTATCAGCACTAATGATGAAAATAACTTGATTATTTTCATTTTAGGCACCATGATTTACAAACTATGGTGGAGGCTCATGCATAAAACAATCTAGCTGCATATCCTCCATCAGCATGCCAGCCTCCCTCTACCATTGTTTCACTAATAGTTGATTATACTGATACCTGATATCAAGTTATTTATTCCCAGATGTATAATTGCTGGGTCATATGGAAGCTCAAGTATTTTGAGTAGTTTCCATATTTTCATTAAAGCTGCATCAGTCAACATTTCTACCAGTAGTGAATGAGGATCTCTTTCCCCACGTGCCCACTGACACTGCTTGTTTTTGTTTTTTTGTGATGTCTGCCTGCCAGTCTCACTACTATGAGATGACTTGTGTTACCCTGATGATAAGTGATACAGCATTTTTTTCATCTGCTTTTTGGCCATCTGTGTGTCTTTGAGAAAGCTTCTATTTATCCCTTCACCCCATTTTTAATGGGGTTTTAGTCTTGTAAAGTTCTACCAGTACGCTTTATCAGATAAGTAGTGCATAAATACTTTGTCCTAGTCTTTGGGGTGTCTTTTTATTCTGTTCATTGTTTCACTTGCCACGCAGAAGCTTCTTAGTTTGATGTCCCATTTGTTTTTCTTTGCTTCACTTTGCTTGGCCAATAGCATTAAATTATTAAAGATTAAAGATACTTCTGCTTGTTTTCCTCAACATAAAATATGGATTCAGGTCTGATATCAAGGTCTTTAATTCCTTTTGAATGGAATTTTGTGCATTATGTGAGGTAGGGGATCGAAGGGTTTTTTGATTTTGGTTTTATTTTTGCGTATGACTGATCAGTCTTCCCAGCATTTCTTGAAGAGGCTCACCTTGCTCCATTAAAAATATTTTGCTCCTTTTTCAGAGATTAACTGCCATATACTTGGAGATTTGCCTCTGGACTCTTAATTTTTTTCCGTTGGTCTGAAAGTTTGTCCTTGTTCCAATATCAGGCTATTTTGAGTAATATAGCTCTGTAATATAGTTTAAAGTTGGGGAAAGGTATGCCTATTTTTCCCTAGATTTGCTTTGGCTAATAGGGTATGCTGGTCGTATTACTTCATATTAATTTCAACAGCATTTGATCTATTTATTTTAAAATATTGGTGATTTTACTGCTTTTTAAATTTATTGAAATTTAAAATTAATCAGCATGGAAAAATCGGTACAACTGTGACAGATAAAGTCACTGCAGAACCTTTGTTCTTGTACCAGTGCCAGCAACGGCCTTTGCAATCTCCCTGACGTGCTTCATTCTGTTCTTAAATTTCTTTTCATAAAGGTCATGTCTTGCCAGTCTGTGTTTGGGTTTCATTGCATGATTTACAATCCAGGGAATCTTGGAACTTGCCACCTCTAAATTGGGTTCTGCATTCATACACAAAAGATGACATCTGGGGTAGTCCTGTTTATTTCAGCAAGTTTCTCTCGAATTTTTTTTTTTTTTTTTTTTTGCATTTTGGGTCACACCCGGCGATGCTCAGGAGTTACTCCTGGCTCATGCACTCAGGAATCACTCCTGGCGGTGCTCGGGGAACCATATGGGATGCTGGGAATCGAACCTGTGTTGGCCATGTTGGCTGCGTGCAAGGCAAACGCCCTACCCGTTGTGCTATCGCTCCAGCCCCTTCTCTTGAATTTCTTTCAGATACTGTAGCCCTCCCAAGGTGAAGAACAGCAAGAACCATTTGCTTCCCCTGAAGGAGTCAGTAATTTGAACTTCCTATTACAGATAGCACATTGCTTGAGATGGCTGCTCAGCTTCAGACAGCCAGGGCGGGGGAGAGACGTCTGTTTTCACAGGGAGTGCATTTACTCTGTATAATGTTTTGGGCAAGATTTGTCATTTTGACAATATTAATCTAGTTCCTGGACGGGGCTGTGTTTCCATTTCCTCATATGCCCTCTTTTATTTCCCCTAGCAGTGATATACATTTTTCTTTGTGTAAGCCTTTCGCCTGTTTTTTAAAGCTAATTTTCAGGTACTTGATTTTCTGAGGCACAATTGTGAATGGAGTTTTTAATTTCTATTTCATTATTTGCATATAGAAATGTATAGGTTTCTGTACATTGGTTTTGTAGCCTGACACTTTACCATGCAAGTCTATTTCTAGAAGATATTTTGTAGTGTCTTAAGGGTTTTTCCATGTATAGTGTATCATCTGCAAATATTGAAAATTTAACTTCTTTTCCAATCTGGATGCCTTTAATATCTTTTACCTAACTACTATGGCAAGGACTTCCAGTAACATATTAAGTAGTGGTGAGAGTAGGCAACCTTTTCTTGTGATATTTTTCACAGCACAAGTATGATGTTTGCTCTGGGCTTGGTAAATGTGTATGAGGAGTATGGTGTTCGCCCTGGGCTTGTAAGTGATTTTAACTTTGTTGAGGAAAGTTCCTTCAACTCCCGTTTTATTGAGATATTTTGTCAAGAGTGGATCTTGGATCTTGTCAAATGTGACCTGTGCATCTACTTGTGTTGATATGTTATATTGACTTTTGTCAATTTAAACCATTTTTGCAACTTCAGGATGAATCCTATTTGGTTTGATCTTTTTGATGTATTGTTTAAATCAGTTTGCTGGTATTTTGCTGAGAATCTTTGCATCTATGTTTATCAGAGATATAGATCTATAGTTTTCTTTTTTGTTTGTCTCTGGCAGCATTTGGTATCAGGGTAATAATTCCCTCATAAAAGTTGTTTGGAAGGATTCCTGTTTCATCAACTTTCTGAAAGAGCCTGAGAAGGGTTGGATAGGTTCCTTAGAAGTTTGTTGGGCAGGAGCAATAGTACAGCGGATAGGGCTTTTGCCTGGCAGATGGACAACGACCCGGGTTCAATCCCCAACTTCATTTATAGTCCCCTGAGCACTGCCAGGGGTAACCTCTGAGCATCACTAGGTGTAATCCAAAAAGGAAAAAAAAACCTTTGGAAGAATTCACTTTTCTGAGCCACCTGGGTCTGAGCTTTTGTTTGCGGAGAGACTGTTCATTACCATTTTAGTTTCCTTAACAGTAATTGGCCTGTTCAGTTGCTCTGTTTTCACTTAACTTTGAGAGATTATAGGAGTCAAAAGTCTCCATTTCTTCTAGGTTCTCCAGTTTTGTGGCATAAAGATTTCAGAATAATCCAAGAAAATCCATTGAATTTCTTGTGTGTTGTTTCATTTCTGATTTAGTGTTGTTTCATTTCTAATTTAGTTTACTAAAAATTTTTCTTTGTGAATCTTGCTAATAGTTTCTCAGTCTTGTTTATTCTTTCAGAGAACCAACTCTTGGTTTTGTTGATCTTTTGAATTTTTTAAAAATTTCCATTTAGGGGCTGGAGAGATAGCACAGCAGGTAGGGCATTTGCTTTGCACACGGCCAACCCAGGTCCGATTCCCAGCATCCCATATGATCCCTTGAGCACCGCCAGGAGTAACTCCTGAGTTCAGAGCCAGGAGTAACCCCTGTGCATCGCCAGGTGTGACCCAAAAAGCAAAAAAAGAAAAAAAATTCCATTTAATTTCTGCTTTGAGTTTTATTATTTTCTCCCTTCTACTTGCTTTGAGTTCCTTTTAGCAAATTTTTTTTTGTCTTTATCTAGCTGCTAAATTTATTTTGTAGGTTATTTATGTAGGTCCTTTTTGCTTCCTAATGAACACTTGCATTGCTATGAACATTCCACTTTTGCTGTGTCCCATGTTTTGCAGTAGCTTCTTGTTTCCAGGAATCTTTATTTCCTATTTTGCTCTTTGATCCACTGATTATTCATTACTAAATTGTTTTAATTTCCAAGTGTTTGACTTTTGTTTAATTTCCATTTCTGTTTATCACTGTTTCCTTGCTGAGATTTTGCCTAGATGATCTATCCCATGGTGAAAGAGGTGTATTGAGGTTTCCTATTACTGTTGTGTTGGTGGCAATGTCTTCCTTCATATCTATT